CTTATTTTAGTTTTATAAAATTAAATAATATCTTAAGGTTGCAAATAACCTTTATCTTATTTATAGTTATAAAAAGTTTAAGCTTAAATATATAATACTTAAAAGCCTTTAATTTAGCTTAAGTAAAATAATACTTTAATAAAAACATTATATAATTATTATTTTTTAATATTATAAAAATAAGCTTAAGATATTAAATATATTTATTAATAAAGCAAGAAAAGATTATAATATTATTAATATAAATTAATATAAATTCCTAAAAGTATATATTAAAGAGGCTTTTTATATAATATTAAAAAAAGAGGGGGGAAATTATAAAACCCATAATAATTATAGCTATATGCTTAAAGCCTTAATAAGGGGTAATAAAGATTATTTTTTAGCGATCCTTAAGAGTAATAAGTTGCTAAAAGAAGCCTTTAAGAATATTTATAATAATAAATACATTATAGCTTTTAAGAAAATTAAATATATTATTTTATTAAGGTAGTAAATAGCCATAAAAAATAAGCTTAATATTAACTTAATAAAGGTTAATAATTATTTAAGGTTTGTTATTATATTAAATAATAAAAGCTAGCGTTATAACTATATAATTTTTTTTTAGCTAAATTAATTTTATTATGCTTATTTTAATTAATTTATTAATAATTTTATTAAAGGCTTTATAGTTTTTTTATAATATATTATATAGCTTTTAAATTAAGTTATTAAAATTAGCATTTAATTTTAAGAAAACTTTTATTTTTATATTATTATTAAATTATTTTAGCTTTAATTAAAATAATTAAATATATTAAAGGATGGTTTATTTAATTTTATATATTTTATTAAAGCCTTAATTAGGATTTATATTTGCATTATTAATATTAAATTATAAATTTAGAATTAATATATTAAAGGGGTAGTTATTTAGAAATTATCCCTTCTTTTTATTAAGGGGTATGTTATTAAGTATTTTTAATAGGGGAATGGTAGTTAAGGTAGAATCCTTTTATATTAAAAAGGTTTTTAAGTTAAAAGCAATAAATATAACCTTTAAGTATTTAAAAAGCTGCCCCTTATAAATTATTATGAGTTAATTTTTAAAATTAAAAAAGGGTAAAATGGTAATAACGTTATTTATAATGCCGTTAATAAGGGAGCTATAGGTTAAGCTATGATAATTTAAAATAACTTTAGGTTTAATAAGATACTTAAAAGCTTAAATTAAGAATTCTTAAGAATGGATTTAAATATTAAAATCTTTACTAAGTAAAATAAGGCATTTATAAATTATCTTAATAGTAATTATTTTATGTTAAGCAAGAAGGTATTTAATATAAATAATATAAATCTTTTAGCTTATATTTAAAATAATAATTAACTTATTATTATTTAAAGAGCTTTAATATATATATAATTAATGCTTTTTTAAGAAAGAAAGATTAAGAAGCAAGCTATAAGATAAGTTATTAATAATATAAGTATTTTTCTTAATAAGCTAAGATTACTTATCTTAATTAAGGATATTAATAAGTAACTTAACCTTATAAGTAATAATAAGGCTAACTTTAACTTTAATTAAAGAAAAAAGAGTTTATAGCAATTTATACTTTAATTTAAAATAATATAATAAGAATACTTCTTAAAATATAAGGAAAGCATTTAAAGTAATATTAAGAATACTATTAATAAGCTTTTCTTTAAGTATAATAAGTATAATGTAGAAATGATTTAACTTAAATAAAGAATAAAAAGGATAAAATATATTTTATTTCATTAAATGCAAAAAAATAATATTAATAATGCTTTTTATAGCATCTTTATATATTATTAAAATAATAAGGTTATTTTATTTTAAGGGAATTTTTAATTTAAATCTAAAAATAAATATTAATATAAGCTTAAGTTTTTTATTATTTTTTTATAAAAATAAACTATAAAGAAATTATTTTAAAGAGTTAATAATAATATTAGCTTTAATAAAGGTAAAAATAAAAGAAATTAAGAACTTTTTATATAGCAAATATATCCTTAAGGGTATTTACTAAATTATTTTTCCTATTTTAATTTTAAATTAAGGTTTAATTTAAAATTATTACTTATATTAAGCAAATCCTATATTAAATTATAAAATTATTAAATATTATTAAAAACCTTTTAAGAAAGTATTTTAAGTTTTTTATTAATATTTATAATATATGCTTATAAAGGAAGTTGCAAAATATTATTTTAATAATTTCATAAAGAAAAACGTTTATAAGTAAAGCGGTTTAGCCTATTTAACTTATTATAAGCAATTTAATTAAAATAATTTCCATACCCTTTATTTTTATTAATTACAAAATTATTAGCTATTTTCTTAATTAAAAGCAAAACGTTATGTATTACTTTATATTTATAGCTAAAGCTATATAAATATATTAAATTATATAAATAGCTAAAGTTATAATTATAAATTTATTTATAAGCATTATAATAAAAATAAGGAACTTATTTTTAATTATTATATTATAAGAAATAATTAAATTATTTAAGTTTTCTATAATAATTACCATTCTTTTAAAAAGCAATAAGCTGCTTTTACAGCTTATAAATTTTATAACTTTAAGCTTTCTCCGCTTCCTTATTTTTTTGCTACTTTTAATAAATATTATACTTATTTTAGCTAATAAGTTATTTAAAATCTTTAAGCTTATTATACTAAGTTTATAAAGTAATTATTATATATAACTTAAGATTTAATTTAATATAAATTTAATAAACTTAAGCATCCTTATTTAACTTTTTAGCTTTATTATAAAAGTAAATCTTATTATTAATATATTTATATAAAAATAAAGCATTTTTTTTTATTAAAAAAATATTTTATTTTATTTACTTTAGCTATAAAGTTACTATAATCTTTATAAAAACGCTAATAAAGCTTAGCTTTTTATAAACTTAACTTATTAATAAAATCTTTCCTCTTATATTTAATTAATAATATAAATTAATAAATATTATTTAAATTTAAATTTAAGATAATTTTAATAAAAAGGTTAATAAAGATTATAGCTTTATTATAAGTTTTTGCAAAGTATTAAATATAAGTAATATATACATTTATTTTAAAGCTATAAAACTTAAATATTTCTAGCTTTAAGCATAAACTATTTTTATAAGTTAATGCAGATATTTAATTTAAATTACCTTACTAAGTATAATGATTTTAGCTATAATGAAAGTAATTTTAAGGGCGAAAAGCTTTTTATTAAGGAAAGCATTCTTAATAAGGGTATTAATAATAATTATTAATCTTATCCTTTATATTTAATTTAAGGGGAATATTATAAATAAAGCATTAATTAAGAAAGCTGCAATCTTTAATTAATAAATAAGGAAAGCTATAGCAATGCTTATAATAAAGGAAGTAAATAAGCTAGCTATTTATATTTTATTTATTTTTATAATTTTTTAGCTTAAGAAAGGCTTATTAAGAATTAAAAATAAAATAGTTAATTAATATAATAAAGGCTTTTAAGAAGGAAGTAATACTTATAAGTTTTATAATAAAATAGCAAGCTGCTATTATTTAATTTTAACGTTTTACTTTGCTAAAGTCCTTTATAATATATTAAACTTAAATAAAAAGTTAATTTAATATAATAAGATAAAGTTTTAAGTATATTCTTAAAGTTATACTTTGCTTAATAATATAAATAATGGCTGCATTAAAAAGATAATTACTTTAAATATATAAGGATATTTATATAAAAGGAGTTAAGGGCTAAATATATATAAAGTGCTTAGCAAGTTTAAGATAAAACTTTTTAAAGTAATCCTTAAGTTTTAATAAATAAGCATAATCTTAAAATAATCCTACCTTAATTATCTTATTAACTTATTTTAATAAAAGAATTTTATATCCTTTATTTTAGCTAACTTTAATTAAAGAAAATAAGCTAATGTTAAACTTATTTTAATTAAGAAATTAGCTATAAAGAATAGCCAGCTCTTAAAACTAAGAAATTCTTAAAAAATCTTAAGATAAAGAATTAAAAGATAGTTATTAAATTAAGTTAAGAAAGTTAATAAAGCTTAATAAGGCTTAATTAATACTTTATACCTTTTTAAATTATATTTTATTAAAAAGGAAATTATGGTTTAATACCTTAATTATTATAAGTTATACTTAAAGTTCCTTTTAAGTAAAAGCAAGGGTTAATATTAATTATATAGGAATGGAAAAAGCTTTTTAAGCTGGTTTTAATGCATTAATAGATTTAAAAGATTAATTTAATTTTAATTAAGGCGGTTTAGCAGTAATAAAATATCTTTTTACATTTTAAGGAAGCTTATTTCTTGCCTTGCCTATAAAGTTATTTATAAGAAGGTTTTAAATTAAAATTAAGAGTTATTTAATTAAGGGGTTTTAATAGCTAAAAGTTTATTAAAGCTGCTAAGTTAATAAATATTATGGCTTAGTAAGCATAAAGCTTATTAATAATTATTTAAAGCATTATTAATAATATTTAGGGCCTTTAGCTAATTAAGCTAAGGTTAATAAGGTTATTAAATTAATTATATATTAAGAAAATATAATTATTTAAATAATTGCAAGCAGTTGGTATTAAATTAATAATTAAATCTTAGCATAAAAGTAATAAGAAGTTAAATTAAATTATAGCTATTATGTAATGAGATATACAAGGGCTTTTAAAACCAGATCAGGGAACTAAATAGGGTTGCTAATAGCCAATTTAATTAAAGTATCTCGCAGAGTATGTGTATATGTATTAAGAGAAGCTAATACTAGGCGGGCTACGGAAGGTATGGTGTATTAGAAGAGAGGGGAGTGCTTAGTCATCCCCCAACAGTGACGGCATTGCTGCCGGGTGGTGTCGCTGAACCTGGTGGCACTTCCCGGTGGTAACATTTGAGCACTTCTGTACCAACGCCTTTTTCTAATCTCCCTTGAATAATATAATTGCTTCGGCTCAGTAGAAAATTAAGGAAGGCATATAAGTCCATAGCTATGTACTGTAGAGCTCGCTCGGCGGTGCCACGTATCTATCCCCCACCGCCGCGCTGTCACGGTGAGCCCCTGGGGGCGCGGAAGCGGAACGCCATCCTGGACCATCTTTCTGCGTCGTTTGTTGTTGCTGTAGCTGCCGTTCTTGTTGGTGCCGTGGGTGATGAAACCTCTTCGCCCGCCGCATCATAAAGAGCCCCACGGCCAGGGCCGCGAGCCCGGCGACGCCCATCCCGACGCCGATTCCGATGCCGATCTTGTCACCGGTGCTGAGCGCCCCATCATCTGTTGCTAAAGAAGTGCTGGATGCCATGGCCGTAGACTCGGGACTGCCTGTCTCCTCGGCGAAGACCCAGCCGTTGATATGGACGCCGTACACGGTTTTGGTAGTATTGGTCGTCAGAGTAGTGGCCACCCACTGCTTGTAATTGTTCCTGGTGTGGTACGTGATGGCGGTACCGGAGCCGACGACGCTATAGCACTGCATCGCCGTTCCCTGGTCAGCCCAGGATGCAAAATTGTAACCGCTGGAAAGTGGTACGTCAGCCATCAGGGCGCAGAATTAAGACAATTTCCAATTGCGAAAGGGGAATGGGCTGGTGAGTGATCGTGAAATTGACATACGGTGGACAACAAGCGACACTGGTCGAAGAGGCGTCCGCGAATGAGGTGGTGACCTGTTTAAAGGGTTCCGGGCAGGTAAGAGGGCCGAGACTCGTAACCGTCTCGCTGTTGGGCCCCAGCCAGTCCTGGTCCCACCACGCGGTGGCGGCCTCGGGCATGCAGCGCAGGTTGGTATCAATGCTTATACCGTAACCCGGGTCCCAGCCAACGATGGGGAGGCCATCCGTCCATTTCCAGAAGGCTGAGGTGCAGCCATCTGCAAACATACTGTAGGGGGTGATGAGCGGAACCCAAGAAGTTGCAGTCCCTGATCTAGACTCGGGCGGTCTGTATGCCTGCATTTCGGGGGCTGTTGACGACATGCTGTGGACAATGTGGTCGAGCGAACGCGTGACGATGGCTTGGTGCGGCTGGAGATGGAGGAACTAAAGGGGCAGCAGAAGCTTTAAAAGAGACCGCACTCTTCACGGTAAGAGATGGATTCCGACCTGGAACGTTCCACAACGCCATCTCGGCTGCGGCGTGCATGGAAATGTGCTTTATACCAGGACGTTCAAGGCACCAGGCTCGACGAAGCAGGCTGCCCCTTAATTTTATCAGACATCCAGCACGTTCCCGAAGGCGCAAGCCACTCGCAACCTGAATTGCATTCCACCAAAATTTTTCTCACATTCAGCCTCTCACATCTTGCAGAATTTGCGGGTGTGGCTCACAACTGCCCACGCCACAGGTAGGAAACGCATAGCCCTGCGCATCACCGGCCTCCGCCCCGCGCGCTTCCAGACTGGCAGAGGGGGCATCATCTAAAATATCATTTCAGCCCGCTTCCTACAAAGCTTAATGATGAGCAGCAGTTGTTCCCGGGCTTGGTTTTGTAACATGATGTTCGAGGTTATCGACCCCAGGGTTTTGACGTTGTGCTACCTCGGTGGAGCTGGGACTAGACGTAATATAATCAACACCCTTGCTAAGCAATCTCATTGGTACTCATCTCGTCCAGTAGCTCAAGGTTGTGCTACTCTGTTTGAAGAGCTCGGTCCCGAAGGCTGGGATCGCTCGCAACAGACGCGTGCTGCTTCCCCTCAGCGTATGCATACGGCTCCCGGTCTGGGGCCGGCGAAGATGTCCCTTCATGAGGCGTGGTTCTTGGCGGCCTGTTCCGCCTTCAGGTTGCTTAGAGAGGCCGGTACTGGCTGAGACCATGTGGGGGTAAGGGCCATATCTCACCGGGGTTAGTCATCTCTTTGAGAAGTTCCTGTGATCAGTGTTCAACAGAGTCCATTATGTTCTTGAGGGGCAAGTTGCTGACCTTTATGTGAGAAGTGCTCCTAAGAAATGAAGGAGACTTCGTACAGAAGAATGGTTGGAAGAGCTTATTACGTAGGAATGTCTTGAACCAAGTGGCTCCGCACGGATTATCATGAAAGCTAGAGACCGCTCTCGGACCCGTACATGGCATCAGAATATCTGATACGGGAATACGTAGGTAGTGGCAATTCATCGAACCTACAGTCACTGATTGCGTGGATTTCAGGACGTTCGGCCTCTTCCTTCCTATCTGTCTTGTGACAGGGTGAACAATGGCGTTCACTCGACCTTCCAGTCACAGACCACTCCGACGAGTTTTTATACCGCAGATTGCAGGCCATTTGGTCTCTTCCCTTCTCCCTCTCTACCCAACCTCTAAACCATCTGCCACAACAAGTCCCAACAATCAAGACAATCATCCATCTCAAACCGTCTTTGGATTTACCCATAAGCCTCACGATGAGCACCAAGTTCGTTTTCCTTGCCTTGACGCTGCTCGTCGCTGCCGTCCTGGCTGCTCCTATCCAGGTGGATGCCAACTCCATCATGGCGAGGGCTCTTGATGGTATGTTTACTCCAATCGTACCGAGTATGCGTATTCTCTAATGCAAGATGATACTAATCTGACTTGTAGGTGCGATCGGATCCTCCGATGCACAGACTGATGGTCGGAGTGGATACGACATCACCAAGCGATTCGACGAGGTTGACGAGGCCGCTGGCCGCAGTGGATACGACATCACTAAGCGATCCGATGTAGTCGACAAGACTGCCGCGGGACGCAGCGGATACGACATCACGAAGGCCTAGCCTTGGAAGATGTAGGAGTTTGAGAGTGGGGACGTGGACCATGGCAGTGAATAGGGGTTACAGTGAAGAGAGGGTACACACTATAAAATAGGCGACCTTCGTGCTGGCCCTTTGCAGCCGGATTCTGACCATACGCCCACCCAAAATATAATTATCACAATTTTGACAAAACCAGTCGTCCTTTCCACACGGAATGGTCCAGGGTGGTAAGGCGATGGTGTTAGAACATTGTGATGTGATGTGTCGTCGACATCCAGGTCCGCGTGAAGACCCTGCCCCTGCCCGAGTGCAATCGTGCCATTGCTGCTGCTGCTTCTCGAAAAATGCCAGTCAGGGCGTCGTTGGGCTCGATCTTGGTCTGTAGAACTCCCTTCTGTAGTCTTGTAGCGTTGCTAGCCTCGTCCTCCTGGTCCAGCCACGTGGTTGGCAAGTGCAATACTGGAGTCACATACATGGCACATTGGATCGTCTATTCTTGTGGCTCCCCGCTCGACACTTGACGGACTTCGCAATCTGTTTCCTCGAAGAGCAGCGAGTTTCAGAGGGGAGAATGTGATAAATGTCCATCAAAGACATCACGTTCCGGCTTCCAATCAAGTACAACTCCAGGATGTTGTTTGTACATACATTAAGCGTCGTCAGGACTCTGGATACTTGGAAGCTCCAACAAAGACTCTGGAGGAGAGATATCACTTTCCCAGCTCTTATGTTCGAGCAGATTCAGACTCGACAATCTGCAAAGTTGGACCTGTGTTGACGATGCGGCAGCTATCAGCCATCAGAGGATATTCAGCATGGGAGTACGCGGTGACTTTTCCCGTGGACATGATGGCCCGGAGCATATTTGCAATTCGAAACTACGAGATGTAGTTGTCGATCATCATCTTTCATCTCTGGCACTCTCTCACAGCGTGATGGGTAGCAGGCTACAGTATGATGTCCTCTAAGTCTAGAAGGTTCGTAGACTACAGAGTTCCACGAGACAGAAAAAAAGTGCCATCATACACTGCAATAGTCCCGAACACGAGCAAAGCAAAGGAAGAGCATCCGAGCCATGGAGTACTAGGAGAAAAACGTCGTGCCGGGACGATGTCTTCAATAGCTCTTTTTACAAAAAAAGATTCGGCTGTATTACAGTCGTTTGAAGTTTCCCTCTTCCCAGGTGATACCACCCTTGCCCGTGGCTGTGCATTTATCAGAGAGGTCTTGACAGAGTCATACCACATGCGACAAGACTTGAGCTAAGTAAGGAACTGCTGTGGCCGGGAAGCCCCACTCCCTCCGCGCGACCCCTCATGACCCGGGAAAGAAACGTATCAGTGCTTGTCGCCCAAGAGTCAAAGCAGCCTCGACCTGAGTTGTTCCCAAAAACGTCGCCAGCCAACTGCATGAAGAAGATGGAGGGAAGTGCGAGCACAGGACACGGGCTGAAAGCAGCAAAAGAGACCTTGAATGGCATTGACAGCTCAATCCGGCCGGTATCGACCTCACGGCAAACTGCCATGATCTCTCACGGAGGGTTGGTCAAAGACGCAACAGAAGTGTACGGGACAGGCCCAGTTCTGCTTCGAATAGGGTAAGCGCCTCTGTGGCTCAATTTTACCCACTCATACTGACTGACGGGCGAAGAAACGGGGGCGCAGGTATGTTCCGCAGACCAAGTCGAGGTGATGTGGGCAAAAACCTGACATAGCCAAGGCGCGACGGGAGTCATAGGAGCTTTGGCAAATGACTATCTCGGCACTCTTTGCGAGAAGCGATCCATTTTCTGGGTCTGCAACCATTCTAGGAACACCCAACTAGCCCTCCTCCATGGATATGTTGATATCGCCCTGACGTACGAGCGGGACCAGGAAGACCTCGCTGCATCTGAAGGCTGGTCATTGACTAAAGGCTGCGTGTTCCACGATCACTTTTGCCTCGCAGGACCTCTTAACGACCCGGCTGGTGTTGGAAACGCGACGTCTTTGTCAAATGGCCTGACAAAGATCGCGGAATCTAAATCGCTTTTCCATAGTCGAGCTGACACATCAGCAACGATGTGGAAAGAGCGAGGTCTCTGGTCGGCCTGCAACTTGAGTCCGTGGGAGGGATCGGAAAGCAGGAGCTCTGACGACCAATGGTATCAGACCAGCCTGCTCTCACCATCAGAAGCCTTGATGAAGGCAGATGCTGCCGGGGCTTACCTCCTCACCGACCGGTCGACCCTCCTGCGCCAAGTATCGACAGGCACCATCTCTAACACGACTGTATTCTTCGAGCCATCTGCGGAGAGTGACGTATTAATGAACAGCTGCTACGCACTGTGCTCGCCGACGCCGTCACAAGACACCCTTGACTTCCTCGGGTACCTGTTCACGGACCGAGCTCAGGACATCGTCGGATCGTATGGAGCTGATGAATGCGGACTTCCGTTGTTTGCTGCGGCGGCAGATGGTTTTGCGAGGACAACACTGAAGGGAGGGAGGCCCGTACGAAGGCGTTGGGCCTCAAAGGGTGTCTGAAATGCATAGAACTTGCATGAACGAGTGGACACAACAGTCATTTTTCGTAGTATCAGTTACTAGGTTTTACCCGTCGCTATAGCGGCACTTCGCTTTTTAAGGCGGACGTGCTGTCACTTGCGCGCCGCGATTCCTGTTAATACTGTTCGGGCGAATAGCGATCTCGGGCCCTTCATTGATGTCCAGCTGGCGGTTACCTATGGTCAGGGACCTCGTGCCTTCGACGAAGATGGGCTTATTATAGTTGTCTAGGCTGTTTCTCGTGACTGAGTGGCTGGTCCTCTGATTCAACATTAAAGAGGAGCGTACAGGCACTCCGACTCCACTCCACCCATTACAGGATATCTTTTGAACACCATCTTGCTCTGAAGTTCGAATTTTGGGCCCGAGCTTACCAGCTCAATTTGAGGGGAACTGCTTATTTAAAGAGAAGCAATTAGAGACAATAACTCATATCGCGACCAATAGGTCATAGCATCTTATTGCTTTAAACATGGTATCCATGATTCCAATCACTAACAGCTGGCCCTGGGCATGCTCCCTCTGCTCAATGTACTTTGCATGTATTCACGCATGCGACGTGGAAAATTTCTCTTCGTTAAAGAGAACTCAATTTTCGCGTCGGAGACTTTTTGTATCTAACATTAACTGAATTTATTGCCGCGGATGAATTCGGAGGCTTTTCACAACTTTATTCAATGCGCTGGGCAGTAGCAACCCTCCGATACCCGAAGTTGCAGTTCAGCTAAATTTTCAACAAGATATGCAATCGGCGTCTACATAAGTAGAAGCAATATCTTGACTAATGGCAAGTGCAGAATGACAATCAGGTCCGCAAAAACTCGTTATACATATACACAGCCCAAATGGCTTCAGAATACGCTGTACAGAAAGTGTCACCAGCGGTGGACCCTGGTATTGTGCAATTTTTCGAGAGCTTCTATGCTATATCGGACGATCTGTCTGACATTGAAGGCTATGTTAATTCGTTCACTCACGACGCTGTTTTCATCATAGGCGGCGCGGAGCCGACCCGAGGAGCGGACGGTAGGGCACATCTACGTGACAGCGGCACAAGCTAATTACCTAAGTAGGGATCAGAAAGTGGCGAGAATATGAACCTACCTATGTGAAGTATTGCAAGCACATCCCCCACAAGATCTTCTCTCTCAAGTCCGGCTCCACAGAGGTGATGCTTCATGGTCACGTAGTGATTGGCCACCTTAATCTCCGGGAATCAATCGGAAATTTTGCTGTGAGAGCCATCCTGAAGCAATCACATGACAATAAGTGGCAGATGGAATACTACGAAGTCTTCATGGTAAGCCTTGAAGTATGAATTCGATGCTTCACTTACTGAAAGTGTCTGCTTAGGACGTCTCAGCACTTGCAAAAGCAGGTGTACTTTAGAATTCGGAAGTACCAAATATGAACAGGAATACGGTTGCACCTTCGCAGCCTATACTTAGACTTGAATTGTACGAAGGGGCTTCATGCACTTTGTCAGCCAGTGGTTTTGTCTGGGAATCTCTCCGCTCGGAATATGAGTTTCACGTCGGCCACATACCACTCGTCTAATGGAACTTGTGATAAATTCAATGCGTTGCAATAACGATTCCAGTATCTTTACCTTAACATCAACACCAATGAAAACGCTTGAAATGCTTAAGTAATGGTTAGGACATTCGAGCTTGACTTGGGTTGGAGAGTAGACAAATCGATGAGGTTGTCACAAGCCAATTTCTCAAAAGTGCTTACACCAATTTGTAGTGGAGGGCGAGTGAAAGCTTAACAGGAACACATTCGAGACTTGTCGAAGAAAAGTGCTCCCTGGACCACGACCGAGGTGGTCTCTACGTTTTCGTTGCACGAAGGCAACATTTGGCTGTAGAAATATGTTGACCTTCGTTCAGGGTTGCCTCACAGTTGGGCCGCAGCTAGAAAGCAGCTGTTAAGACGGGCTGATAAGATAAGCCTATCGATAAGGCTACAGCGCAATCTGGACTTCATACCTTGTGAGCCTGGACCGCATGCCCAGACCGATTCAAAGCCCGTTCACAAACCCGACCAACTCCACCATTCCGAACCAGCACATCGACCGCAAAGAAGATGGACTACCAAAATCGCGCGGGCTCCAAGTTCGGCGGCGGCGGCGTCGCCTCGCACAGCGCCACCAATGCGGACCGTCGCGAGCGGCTGCGGAAGCTGGCCCTCGAGACCATCGACCTCGACAAGGACCCGTACTTCTTCAAGAACCACGTCGGCAGCTTCGAGTGCCGCCTCTGCCTGACGGTGCACCAGAACGACGGCAGCTACCTCGCGCACACGCAGGGCAAGAAGCACCAGACCAACCTCGCGCGGCGCGCGGCCAAGGAGCAGAAGGAGGGCAAGGCCCAGGTCGACCCGCAGACGGGCCTGCCGGTGGGCGTCGTGGGCGCCGGGTTCGGCGCGCTGGGGCTCGGGTCGGGCGCGGGCGGTGCGGGGGGCGTGCGGCGCACGTCGTCAAGATCGGGCGGCCGGGGTACAAGATCACCAAGGTGCGCGACCCGGTCACGCGGCAGCAGGGCCTGCTCTTCCAGCTGCAGTACCCGGAGATCGGGCAGGGCGCCACGCCCAAGTGGCAGATCATGAGCGCCTTCTCGCAGCGCGTCGAGGAGCCCGACAAGAACTTCCAGTACCTCCTCGTCGCCGCCGAGCCCTACGAGACCTGCGGCTTCAAGATCCCCGCCCGCGAGCTCGACAAGCGCGACGACAAGCAGTTCGACTTCTGGGACCCGGACTCGCGCGAGTACTGGGTCCAGATCATGTTCATGACGGAGCGAGAGGAGAGGTTTAATGCCGCGCCGGGCCTCGGGGGCCGCCGGTAAGGGGACGAGGAGATCTTAAAGGGGACACTGGTGGCAGATCACGGAGATCGATAGGCATGATGCAGACGACCAAGCTATCTACATTGGATCCTGTCACATACACATGTGCTGAGGAGGGCGATTGAGGTGTTGGCCCGGCGGATGGGGCAGGTAACGGCAGTGGGAGTGCCAAAAAGGTCACGTACAGGGGGCAGAAAGCGTAAGGGGAATTTGATGCCATATCAGAGATACATCTCGCTGACACGAATCAGGGCTCCATTGTATTTTACAAAGCACCCCCTCGGCAAGGCATTACGCAGAGACTGCCATACATGAGAGGAGTAGCCCGTGGTGGCGGAAGTGGAAGGCATGCAGCAAGACCAAGGGCTGGTCACGAACAACACTCTCCAACCATGTTTAAAAGATAGGAGAAATCAAGATACCCTTCTTATGCAGATTTTTATTCAGGCATCAGACGATCCGCCCGTCTATCCTTGTGATATGTTGTCTAGCGTAGCCTGACGTACAGCCTCAAAAATGACTGAACCAACAACGCCTGGCCTTTGCGTATTTGTCCTTTTTCTCTTTACATTATCATGCTGACGATGCTCTCATCCTCAAGTCCTCAGCTCTTGCCCAGGCCTGTGGGAGGCTGGTCCGGAGCCTGCCCGATTGATAATCCGTGAGCCAAGAATTGCCCGGCATGGCTCGCATCGAAAGAAAGGTCAATTTCGGGCCCGTGAACTTTGCACTTGGGCGATCGGCCCTGGCCCGCTCGTTTCCTATCAGGGAAAGGGATGCATGCAGTCAAAAGCACATCAAGTCGCAGATGATGACAGTAGCTTCGCAACATCTGCCGCGTTGCGAATGGCTCCAGCATGCCAAGCAGGCAGGCGCCCTACTGTATGCAGTGTCTTATCGCTCGTGATTTATCGGAAGTTGTTGTCGAATCTCTTGAAGGTATATCCAATGAAAGGCAAGCTCATCTCGGGACTCTCCTCCACAACACCCACGGCCTTGGCGGCCTGGACTTGCTGCGCCTTAAGCAGAGTCGCGTTGTCGGTTTGATCGATCTCGTCCGTGGGGAAGTATGTCGTATCGATGTTGCTCGTGAGGCGTGGCTCGAACGGAGCCCGGATGCGTCTGAGCGAGTCGAATTCGACGCCACGGAAGAAGGCGTGGCCCTTGATCTCGTGAGCACCGCCGCGACCCAAACGGTTCTCGGTGTTACAGATCAGGCTATTGAAACGGTCAGTATTTCTCTCCATGCACTCCAGCGGCCGAGAATCCTTCAAGTCATACCTTCGTATCAAGTTCTCCGCCTCCGCGCCGAGTGTGATATCATCGGGGAAGTACAAGCTTTGTCTCCAGTTGACAATCTTACGGTACGTGTCATGGCTGTCCTCGGCGCAGAAAGGTGGCCAGCCCACCAAACATTCGAACATGATAGTTCCCAAACTCCACCAATCGCAGTCGAAGCTGTAGCCATGGCCCGTGAAGATTTCGGGGGCGATATAATCAGGCGTTCCCACTGTGGAGTAGGCCATTAATCTTCGACTCCGTCGCCAGTCGTTGATTTGCGCGCGGTTGGACACGGTCAGATTGATCTGGTCGATGGCGATGGAGTTACGGTCACGAGGTCGATTCGACTTGCCCTGCAGGAGCTGTTGGTAGTAGTTGTTGTCATGGAGCTTGTGGAAACCGGTCGACAAGCCAAAGTCGGTCAATTTGACGTGTCCACCGCGGTCGAGCAGGATGTTATCTGGTTTAATATCTCTGCGGTGGATATCAGCGCCCGGAATCCTGATATCCCTGAAGGACCACTTGTAAACCTACCTGTGAATAAAGCCCAGCTTGTGAACGGCATCGATGGCGAGGACGATCTCGGCAATGTAGAAGCGCGTAATATCCTCCGAAAAGATCTCGTACTTGATCAACATGGTCATCAAATCGCCACCGGGCAAGAACTCCATCAACATGTAGAGGAAGTGAGCGTCCTGGAAGGTCGTGAACAGCTTTACCACCCAAGGGCTGTCGCTCTCGGCAAGGATATCTCTCTCGGCTCGGACGTGCGCCAATTGATCCTTCTTGAACATTTCCGTCTTAATCAGGGACTTCATAGCGTAGACCTTGCCATCTGCTTTCTTTTGCACCAGCTTGACCTCACCGAAAGCTCCCTTGCCAATGATCTTAATTGTGTTGTAGTTCTCGGGCTTGTCCTTGGTTCGGAGGAAACGTAGGTAGGAACCCTCGCGGCGGCCACCGGTGGCCCATATCTGTTCCCTGCGGGCTGGCGACTGATTCGGCTCAGACAGCTTCTGTTCCATCTCGCTTTGCCTGCAAGCACAAGGGAATCGAGGTCAGCTGAGCACCCGGCTGGTACGGGATGGGCATGGGAACCGGAGAGGCAAGGGAAGGTGAGGAAGACTGCTGCGGCGGGAACTTATGAACCTACCTCTGGTTGCGCTCCCTGGCCCGCTTGACGCTGTCCTTGAAGAAGTCTGCGGCAAGCTGGGAGCACTTCTTCTGGTTGTTGTTCGCATTGGAGCCAAACTTGTCGGGATTGCGCTCAGGAGCAACCTCGAATTCGCCATTGCCGCCCTTGGAGCCGGGCTGGGAGGGCATGGGGGCGTTCAGGTAGCTGTAGTTCTGCTGCTGGCCGGAACCACCAGCAGTTCGAGGCCGCTGAGCGCCGGCTGGAGAAGGACCCCTCGAGCCATAGCCGCCTGAGCGAGCCGCGCCGCCGAGGTTCTGGTGGGAGAACTGGTGGGCAAGACCGGTGTTTGGGTCGTTGCTGGCACCTGGAGTGTTGGAGCGTCCTTGGCCATAGGCCTGGGCAAAGTCCTGGTGATGGGTAGGCATTGGTTGACCTGAGTAGGCGGCCTGGTAGTGCTGCTGCTGGTTGGGATTGAAGTAGCCCTGGGGAGCGTAACCGTAGGGCTGCTGCTGTTGCTGCTGCTGCATACCAGAAGCACTGGATGCGGCCTGCTGGTTTGCCGTGGGGGGATACACGGGCTGTGGGAATGTGGAGGGAGTGGTTGGGTATGCAGCTCGGTCGGGCCCAGGACCTAGACGGCTGGCGTTGCTCGAGTTGTTGGCGCCGCTGTTGGCAATGTTGAGGTACAGCCGGTTCCCCTGGTTGTCCATTGTGGACTATTGTAGTCAGGACTGCTGCAACGTATTGTATTACCGTGAAATTGATCCGGCCGCTGGGACCTCGGGACTCTTGGCTGGTATTGGTCGCGCGTGGCCAAGGGAGTCAGTGTGGTCGGAAAAGGGAGGGTCTTTCCACTTTGAGGATGGAGGGGAAAGGGGGGAGTGGCCTCCTGGGTGGATCGGCTGCCCGCAAGCGCTAGCAAATGCCCGTCAGGGACGTGGGTTTGCGTTGATTGAGGTGTGGAGCGCGGACCTGCGCTTCGGTCGCAGGTTGCAGCGGTGAGGCAGGCTGGTAGGCTGGCAGGCCGGCGACGATGCCCAATTCTAGTACTGTGTACAGAGGTGCGGCTGGACGGCGACTCGACGATGGGGGCCTTCAACTGGAGGGCCGGAGCTGAGCTGTCTGTCTGCCCTTGGGCCCTGGTCAAGCTCAAGATGGAGTCTCCAGTGGCAACTGCCTGACTCTCTTCCTCTGCCTCGAGACTGTCTCTCCTACTTGCACACCCACACACACAATCCTGGCTCCTCTTCTGTCAAAGACGAAGCACGATTAAGGTTGAACAGATGCTCAGCCTCCGAGTCAGTCGATCAGACGGATAGACAAGTGGGAATGGCTATGTTTCTGATGGTGGATAGTGCGATGTAGTGCGCTTTGCTGTGTTGTGTATAGCGTGTGCTCGGTGTCCTGGAGAGAAAAAAAGTCAATTAGCTTGCTTGTACCTCGATTTACCTTGGGGGGGGGGGGGCCTTCCACACAACTCAAAACATGACAAGGCCAAGGCAGGATGGCAGATGGAGAAACACTCTATTCGAATCACATGCAGACTTCCGCGCAAAGAGAGAGAGAGAGAGGGTGAGGTCTACACTGAGAGAAAAGAAGAGAGACACTTCGGAATGTAATAGATCTGGCAGTGCATCCACCTGACAGCAACACTGGAATAATAATAAAACTGAGCGAATGTGCGTGTTTCGAGGAGGTGCTCGATTCCAAGGTTTCTCAATCCCATCCTTTCCCCCTCTCTCACCCCTCCCGCCTCCTCCTCCCAAGCAACCAAGGTTCGCGGGCATGCACCCCTGAAAAGGGGTTCAGCGTAAGCAGGTCGGTTGGTAGCTTGGCCGGGTGCTCTCGAGGCTGAAAAAGCCTTTTCAGTGTTGTCATGTTCCGATTGCGTGCCCAACATCTTGGTGCTTCGGCGCGCTAGAACTGCACCTGTTACGTAGCGGGGTCCATGCGGTCGACGTCTGTTGATCCGGGCAGGATTCCGCCCGTGGCAACCAAGTCTGCTGTACACATCCTCAGAGATTGGACTCTTTACCGGGAAGGCTCTGTAGCACAACTGAGGATTCACACACATTTCCCGGAGAACCTTAGATGTCCCGAGTGTCTGGATCCGGATAGAAGCTGGATCGATCACTTGATATACAGGCTAAATCTATAGCACCGATCTGACAATTCTTACCTTATGCTCCCAGTTGTGACTGGTCCTGTTACTACAGCTCCAGGCGATCTGGAGTGTCGTCACGCAGCTAGCGTCTACAACTAGCGACCTTGGAAACCAGAAAGGCACATTGCCTCGTGGAACTGATGAGCTTACGTTGCAGAAGATATCCTCCCTACATGCGTTCAGAGGCTGGTCCACAGGGGCTTGTCTCACGGGAGAGGTCCCATCCCAGGTCGTACACTGACAGCTGCGACGCCTGCATACATGGATGGTTTGGTACAATTGAACTGCATGGCCGGCCAGACTCATCCATGGCTATTTTGTGTCGTCTTCCACCGTTGCCTACTAGCAATCATTAGCTACAACGGACAGGCCAGACTTCCGGGATGAGTTTCCAACATGTTGGGAAGCTTCCCTAGCTGAGAGGCATGAACCCGCCCGATAAGCTCCGATAAGACTGCTCTTATCGGCACCTGCGATTTTTTTTTGGAATGCCCCAGCGACCTTACTTCAGACGACCAGATGACGGTTGTTGTCCAGCAACAACATACCCACCAACCTTGCTCTTTTCCAGACGTAATTGATCCAGTCTCGGTCTGATCAGGTTGCGTGTCTGCGGCTATCAGCAAAGATGGCTGAGCCAAACCCTCCAGCCGCCCCAGCTGCGCCCGCCGCAGCGGCAGCACCACCACCACCGAAGCCACCCGTGCAAAACCCGGCCCTCCGAATGATGGGCCTGCCCGCCCTGCCACGAAAGCTGCCCTCCCGCAACTGGATGATCTTCTGGACCCTCTCCTCCGCGCTGGCAGCCACCATAATCTACGACCGCCGCGAGAAGAAGCGCGCCACCGCCCGCTGGGCCCACGCCGTCGAGCACCTTGCCAAGCGGCCCCTCGCCAACCCGAGCCAGATGCCGCGCAAGGTCACCATATACCTCGAGGCGCCCCCCGGCGACGGCCTGCGCGTCGCCCAGGACCACTACAGCGAGTACATCAAGCCCGTCCTGGCCGCCAGCGGGCTGGACTGGGACTTCGTGCAGGGCCGGCAGCAGGGCGACATCCGCGCCGCCGTGGCCGAGAGGGTGCGCCGGAGGCGGAAGACCCAGGGAGAAGGACGTGGCCGCAGAAGCCGCCACGGGGGAGCTGCCGACCGAGGAGGACCGCATCGACGCCTGGCGCCAGGCACACGGCGTCCCGCTCTACGACGGCGTGCGCGGCGACATCGTGATCGGCCGCCACGCCTGGAAGGAGTACACGCGCGGCCTGCACGAGGGCTGGCTGGGCCCCTTGGAGGCGCCGCCGCACGCGCAGCCCGACCCGGAGCCCGAGTCCGAGCCGGCCGACGCCGAGGCGGACAGCAACAAGACCAAGCGGCCGCCGCAGATAAAACCGTACAACTCGCCCGAGGACTACGCGACGGCCCACCTCCCCATGCTGGTTCCCTCCGAGCTGGCGCCCTCGGTGCCCCTGACCTTCCCGCACATCCTCGGCTTCCTCAACACGCCGACGCGCTTCGTGCGCTTCCTGACGAGGCGGAAGCTGGCGGATGAGGTCGGGCGCGAGGTCGCCGCCGTGTGCCTGGCCGCGTACCGCGAGTACCGCGAGGAGCCCGGCACGGATGACAGCCCAGATGCTCACTGGGAGCAGCAGAGGGCCCTGGCGCACGAGGAGAAGGACTGGGTCAAGTCCGTGTGGAAGGAGGACAAGGAGGAGAAGAAGACCGCCACGAAGAAAGGTGACGATGCCAGCCCGCTCGCGTCAGGGAGCGAGCTTGTTGATGGGTCCAAGCCGGCTGTCGCTGCCAAGGAGAAGATCTGGCCCAGGCCCATGGTCATCGACCAGCGGATCGGCATGCGGATGAGGAGGTTCGAGCTGCTGCCTGAGGATGAGGAGCGGGCCAGGGGCATCGTCGTCCCTGAAGAAGAGGTCGAGGGGTGGGACCAAGAGCAACTTGAGGGCCCTGTGGAGATGGACCGTCAGCAATTTCCAAAAGGAGGAGCGGAAGGTCCCCACGAGTTTCGACGACGAGTAAACCCCGTGTCTTCACCACGGGGCGCGAGCTTATTTGATGTGGGTATCGGAAGCCTGGGAGATTTGACAACACTCAATCGCATTTTTTGGAGTTTGGAAGGTGAATATATAGAGGAGTTGCTAGGATTTGTATTATATTGGGTGCGGCATATTTGTGTGCATAATGACCATACAGTAGATGGTCTTGTGCAAGCCATCTCCGGGTAGCTATTTTACAGGATAGAAAGACCTGGAGCCTCACTACTCATGTATCAATGAATCGAAGGCATATCTGCCGTTCATTTCACCTGCTAATCTTCAGCTCAGCGAGACGTGCTATCGTGTCAGGCGACCGAGGTTCCCATTCATTTGGTACTGGTCGCCATGATGTCCTCGCAAGGCTGTGCGCCTTCAGCTCATGCCCAAGTCAGCCCAAGTCAGCCATCAACTGTATGAAAGCAACCCTTGCGCTTGGGCGACATGACGGGTATCTATCTCGTGGGTCGAGTATGAATTGTGTGTGAGAGGCTCGAGCCAGAACAAACTAGCCAGGTTGGCAAGATTCGTCTCGTCTGTGGTGTGCGCCCTCATGCCATCCCACTCAATCGCTATCGTCATCCGAGCCATAGTCGACAAGAGCAGCCTTCGGTTTCGCCGTCGCTGGCGCGGCAGGTTTCGCTTCGGGCTCCTGGGTATCTTTTGCATCCTTGTCAGTGGCTGCAGGACCTTCCTGGCTGGTCACCTGGCCAGCAGCTCCGTTTTTGCCTTTCTCGTCCGCCTTCCCATCCTCAGCCACCTCGGCGGCGGCGGCGCTACTCCGCCTCTTCAACCCCTTCAGGACCCCCTCAGGCTCATCCTTCCGCCTCTTCCTCTTCCTTCCGACGCTCCACCCGCCGCCCTCAGCAGCGCCCTCACCCTCGGGGCCCTCGCCCTCCCCGGCGGCGGAGACCTTCGACTGCAGCTCGCGGAACCCCTTGAGGCCCTCCTCCGTCTCCCTTCGCAGCCTCTCCTCCTCAGCCCGCCTGCGCTCCCTCACGCCGTCCAGGAACTCGACCTCGTCGTCATCAAGCGCCCGGAACTGGTTCTTGAGCTTGTTCGCCTCCTCGAACTGGGCCTGCTTGGCCGCCTTGTTGGCCTGCAGCACCTCGTACAGCGACTTCTCCTCGCCGCCCCGCGACGCCGCCTCCTCCCTCTGCTGCTGCCGCCGCCTCCGGTCCTCCTCCACCTGCGCCTGCACCGCGGCCCACTCCTCCGACCTCTTGCCGCCGCCGGTGGTGGTCGGCGCTGCCGGTGTCGACGTCGCCGGGTCCGCGGGCACGATCTCGCCCGTCTTGGTGTCGGTTGTGCCGCCTGACACGAACCGGGAAGACATTTTCTGGCGGGGCTTGAAAGTGCCCGGAGAAGAGTGTTTTCGTCGCAGGGCACAGGGAGGGAGTTTGTGTAGGTTCTTGCTCAGACGGGGAACTTGTTCTATAGCAGATCCCAGCTGGGCACCTCAAAGTGAGTTGGGCGGTTGAAATGGGTACTCGGGATGAAAGCGTGCCAGTGGGGCAGGAGCAAAGCTGTAATTGGGTATCAGGTAGGCCCCACCTAAACCACATAAGCAGACTGGAGGGAGACGGTCCCGCAGCACATGCAAGACCTGGGTTCAAAGCCGAGTTCAGTTCACTTTTACTGTTCTTCAGAAATGAGACAAATTAAGATATGGCTGGAAAGTGTTTGAGGGGTTGTTTATTTTCTTGTTTTTTATTTTGATGTTGGTATGTAGTGTTTGAGCGCCAGGCATTGTTTTCCTGGGACTCCATGTGAACACCGCCAGTGCGCGTTCGAAGTTCTGGAGAGACCGCTTCTCGGAGCCGTGCAGAACGGTCGACTTAGTTTCTCGCTCCAGTTGCGAACGATAACAGGCGGGGTTATCAGACACATGAAAGACTTTTTATTCCTTCTCCTCCTCCAGCCTCGGCCGTGCTGGCCCAAGGTTTGCAGTGAAATATCATTCTTTTTGTGCAAAGGCCCTTTTGTTTTTCGTTCCTTCTTGAGAACCATTCCGAGAGCCCCTCTTTCGTCGCATCGTGAGCATGAACGTTGTAAAATGTGGTCCACCTCTGTAGGTATAAAAAGAAATCAACAAGCATTATAAGAAAGTGTGTAGGGAAAACCGCCAGCCGTGAAAGCCCTCTATGGATGCCAATCAAAGGATATCCTCTAAACAAACGTGCCATGCAGTATTGAAACAAGAAAGGTAGGTGCAAGTAGAAGCATCAAAGGGAAGGGAATGCTTTCGGGCAGTGGACACAATTGTCCAAACCACACTCAAGAACAAGGGCAGCGAGATCATTGCTTCCAACCCAGCTTGATCGAATGCCTCCAACCAAAGAAAGGACGAATGTGAAGTCTGAAAAGTCATGTCGACAGCAATACAGCCAAACCGGAATCTCTTCAGGCTCGGGAAAAGGACAAAGAAAGAAAACTGGACAGGCTCTCCCACGAGGCACCCTTGCCAAGGGCCGGAGACTGCCCGTAGAAGCACATTGAATGCAGATGAGAAAACAAAACAGACCAGCCAATACTTTTCAACATGGGCAACATTTCCTTTCCGTTCCGGCAATGCTGCTATAGAAACGCCCGAGCGAGTGGACCAGGGACCGGTCGGGAGTATCGAAATTGTTAAACCCCCAGGACTGAGCCCCGTAACGTGGGGGAGAATCCGAGTCGTTGATTGACTGCCGCCGACGAGTATTATCAAGGTAGATACGGGACCGCCGTGCGTTCGTTGCCGATGAAATGTTGTCCACTCGTCAATATCCCATGTCTGCGATGCGGCAATGAGCCCAACACGTTGCAGAACACGCTAGAGCGCCCCTTGCCCGTTTTCTCCTTGTCAATCTCCCTTAACCCTAGCACAGCGCAAGAGTGCCGCCCAGTCTTCGATCGGATAGTGAGATCGCGATCTATGTGCGAGAACACCGCCGAGACCGCCTGGTATCGAATCCGAAAACGCCAGAGGGTGAGATGGCCAACCATGCCATATACCGTAACAAAAAGAAGAAAAGCAGATCAAATCAAATCATTAAAGAAGTCCGCAGCATTTCGCCAAGATCAGGGACACAAAATGCCCGCTGTGGCGATGGGAGTGATCCAGCGTGCTCGTAGCCGACCTTGAACATGAAGCTCAAGAATGTATGGAGACATCGGCGGGCGGAGCCGTTGCAAAAGGGCAACTTGTGGAAGACCCCGAAAACGTGTACTGAGACTCGAAGGGGTATCTGAATGCAAATGTATCGTTTTTGTCTCAAATCCGTGACCGTCCGCAATGCGAGAAAAAAAAAGAGAAAGTTTAACTCCGTCCATGTGTCCATGCCGGCGTGAAGATCGGTGCCGACATTCGAAGCTGTCAAGCTTTGGAGGGCCCGCGAGGACGTTGCGAGGCGCGATCAACCCAGGACAGCCTGGCCGTAAGCGGCAGTCGGCATGAAGTAGTGTTGGCTCTTCATGCCCACAGGACCCGTGCAGTTAGCACAAGGACACTCTGCCACGTTGTTGTCCCAGATGTTCTGCCCGTAGTTGTAAAAGCCAGGATACTGGGAGTGTCGACCGTGGTGGTAGATGTTGTGGGCCGAATTCTGTCGCGAGTATCGTTGAGCCTGAGCGTCGTTGGCAAACGCGCGGTTGAACCAGTCGCCATAGAACTGACCGTTGCCGGACGTTGCAGAGGCCGGGTACTCGGGAGTACCGTAACCAGAATCGGGCGGAGTGAGTGGAGCGCTCGACCATGGACCGGCAGAGTACTGGTTCCAACCAATCTCCTGTGGGCGGTATCCTGCCTGCTGCTGAGGTTGCTCCGCGCGCTTCATGCTAGAAAGGCGCTCATACTCGGCAACCTGTTGCTGGTGCCACAGGGTGTAAGCCTGGTTGCGAGGACGAGCAAAGTCGGTGTCGATGGGGGGCACAAGAGCTGCGAGCCTCTCGCGGCTCGCCAGAGTCTGGGCCATCTTCTTGCGACCCATCCACTGGCCCCAGTTGTCCAACCAGGCGTTGTAGTCCTCGCTTCTCTCCAAGTTGACGTAGAGGTTCCAGCCGATGCCCACGAGCCACTCTGCCTCCAGCTTGTTCAGCTCGGCGACCGAAATACCGGAGACCTCGGACCAGGATCGGTTCTGGAACGTGTTGTCGTCGAGAAACTTGCTGCCGAGGAGCAAGGCGATGGTCAACATCCGCCAGACCTGTCCCTCGATGGGATGGAAGGTACCGATAGCCTTCAGACCATTGACCCGCTTGGAGAGGTAGTTCATGCCAAGGAGGATAGTGGCCCTGGGCAGACGAGTGGACGACAGGATTTGCGAGACAAACTTCCGGAAGGATGGCGAGACTGGCGACTGCGGGAGGACCAGCTCGATGGCCATCTCAGCAACGTATTCAGCCATCATGTCGACCTCGTAGTCGAGGACAGCACAGACACCTCCGCCAGGCATGTTGACGGTTTGAGAATGCGGATACTGTACGGAAGGAGGGTGCCTTGGTGGATTAAGAGAGCGATCTGCTTCGAGCACGTGGATAGTCGAGGGTAGCAATGCGTAGTGGTCACTGCAGGCCGGCGAAAAGTTCCAAGGCTGAAGAGTCGTGAGGCCGATACGGAGGTGGGTAAGGATTTACTGAGATGCTCGCGCCATAAGAGGTTGATGTATCCTTTCCGTAGGTGAAAAGGTCGAAACCGCAACTAGACTGATCGAATCGATACCCTGCGAGTGTAGATATGTAGGATCTGTCGCAGATCGGGGTGAGACTGTCGAATTGAATCGGAGCCTGAATGAGGAGGTGATCCGGTGTGAGGATCGAGGTCGGTGAAGGCTTCAACCAGAGGGTAGGAAGCCGTCGCGCGAAAGTCAAGGACGTGAAAGGCGAAGGGCAAAGAAACTCTATGCACGGCTGAAAAATGATTCTCGAGTCAGTCGGTCTGTCCACCCGAGGTCAAACGCGGAAACAAGAGTGATCAGTCCGTGCCTTAGGTCTGACACACAAAATCTTGGGTGACGGTATGCGTCAAGCGCAAGGTTTGACGGGGTTGTGTGGCCGGAGGAAGGCAGGCCGCGAGTGTGTGGCGAGCGGTGCGAAGGGTGAAAGGAAGAGAGGATAGGCGAGTTTGAAGGGATGGGGGGGGGAAGGGTTGAGTTTGAGACACGACTCGAGGGGCAACAGAAGACCGTCGAAAAACTCTTGAGGGCTTGCTGCCTGAGTTTTGCAATGATCTGTGTCGCGACGGGTGCAGGTGTCAGGAAACGAGTCGAGGATCGCGAGCAGAGCCCAGATGAGAGAAGGCTGAACCGGATGTGCAGGTGTGCCGAGTCTCGAGTGGGAGATTTGTAGCGGGCAGTGTTGAGACGAGCCGGGGTGGCCAGGCGAGGGTGGGTTTTGCTTGGGAGTGGGTGCGGCCAACAGGAGCGCTGGAGCGAGGGTGGAAGGGACCAAAACAAACGGGTGGTGTGGACCCGCGTCGCCAAATTGTGCCGAGGATTGAAATTGCCCCAGCACCAGTAGCACCTGCGCCTGCTGCAGCAACAGCAGCAGCAGCCGCAGCCACGCCTCCTCTCAACCCCCAGTCGTCTGGCGTGTCAAACGCAGGAATGGAGATGAAGGCGTGTGACGGGTGATGTGTGTGGTGTGTGTGATGAATGGGTGAGACGCGGCGGATGCAAACAGAAATGACTGCGAGTGAATGCACGAGGGCTTGAGGAAGAATCACGAGATGACTGACCTACTTGCTACACAGTAGACTGATGAGGAGGGACTGAGAGTTCGGCAACGACCTCGTCGACTTGCAGATCGGGGCGTGGTTGCTTGCTGTCCCAGGTGTCTGCTGCTTGGAGGCGACCGATCGGGTGGTGGTCGGGTGTAGGAAATGCGTACCAACAAGGGCGAGGGGCGAGCGCGAGGGAGGTGCGGTAAGCAGCGGGTGTGCTGATTGAAGTGTGCACTGGGCAACGGGAAGCCGACGACTCGCCTACCAAGCGCTGGGCTGGGCTGAGCTGCACTCGACTCGACTGGGGGGGGGGGGGCAGTTGGCCTTTGGCTGTTTCCGACCGACTGCCGTGGCTTCGTTCACCCGATCTGGCTGCTGAAAGACTGAACAAGCCGCAGAACAAAAAAAGAAGACGGTGACGATGGCGGTGATGGGTTGCTTGCGAGCACCGGAATCCCTGACTTGGACGACACAAAAGTCAATTTGGCCGTGGTCGAGGTTGGTCGAAGATGGACGTGAGAGGATTCCGCTGGGAGGGACAAGTCAAAGTCGAAGGCGGGAGGAGAGGTTGGTGGACGGGGATGGGGGAGGGGAGAGTAATGATCTGGGCGGATGAGAGTGGAGGATGCGGTGGGATGGAACAAGGGAAAAAGAGATTGAGGGTTTGACGGTTGGGGAGGCGAAGCGACGGGCCAGATCAGAGCAGGAAAATGGTGCGGGTGGTTGATGACGAGTGTCTGAATGAAGGGGGGCAAGGGCCACCACACCCGTGCCCGCGCCAGCACCTGGACCTGGAGGACTGACTGGACCTGAACCTGAACCGGCGGCACACCCAGGCTGGGTACTTGGGTATTGGGTACGTACAGGTCAGACACTCACACATCAGACACCAGCCAGCCAGCCCGCCCACCCCAGCCTACCAGGCCTGCCTGGGCAACCCAGCCCCGACAGCAGGCCAGGACACGACACGATACAACACGACACGACAAAATGTGAATCAGGGCACCTGGCAGCTGGGCACAAGATACGTACACCAGCTAGACTGAGGAAACCCTGTGCAGATTTATGGGCCACTGCGCGTGAGGGAAAAAAATACCAAGTTGTTGTTACAGCAGCAGTTGAAGTCACCTTGGCTGCGCGTGTAAAGTGCAGCGAACGTTCATGTCCATTTTGTGTTTTTTTTTTGTGTCAGTGTATGTGAGGGAGAGCACAACGTACTCTATACCACTATACAATCCTTTACCGTACTGCCTCCCGTTCCCTCTCAGTCAGTCCTTCACTCATGACCGACACCACAGCTATGCCATGTATTGTAATGTTGACTGACAATCACGGAAAACGGCCAAGTTTTGGAACCACCCGGGATTTGCTGCGCTGCAGGGCCTTCTCCTCCGCCTCCAACAAGAGCCCAGCAGAGCTCAGGACTTTGCTAGCCAAATTTGCTAATCTGGGAAAAGGCCAAGGCATTCCCCGGCCAGTGGGGATTGGGCGTGGAATGGAAGTGGGAATGGCAGGGAAACCGACGGCCACAGGATGTGGAGTGCCACGCGAGCCGACCAGCGACTCTTGTTGCCTCCTCCCTGCCTCCCAGTCCCAGTCCCAGTCCCAGTCCCAGCTCCGTTCCTGGATTTGATGATCCCACTGCCCCGAGGGCCCCTTGTTTTCCCTCAGCCCTCTTTGATGCGGTGCCAGATTGCCCAGCCTGGTAGGCCACAGGCCAGGCCTGGCTTGGGAACCTTGGTCCAAGTCACCAGGTCATCAAAGCCAGCCATCATTGCTCCGAGAAAAGACCAACGTGCTTCCCGAGGTGGCTTTTTCTCTTTTCCTTGCCATCTCGAATGCGTACCGTGGTAGCTTGAGCCACCGCGACGCGGGCGCTGTGCAGTCTGCTTAGTACCTAGCACACGTAGTTTAGACCCGAAAAAAAAGGACGGCGCGAGGCAGAAAGTGTGTGTGTATGCTCTGCACAACACAGGCCGTGCTCATCTGGCCCTGTGCAATGGTGCATGTGGACACCCGCATCTGGAGCTCTGGCCAGAGGCTGGCTTTTGTCAGCAAACGGCCACTCGGGCTGCCGAGCACAGGTCACCCTGAGGTCGTGATGAAGCGCCCACCGCCCTGGTCCTGGCCCTGGTCGTCCTGATCCTGGTCATGGGCCCTGGTCCCAGCCCGAGGTTCTTCCTCCTCCTTCTCCTCCTTCCTCCACCACCACCACAACCACCACCTGCAAAGCCACGCAGGGGTCGAGATCCCAGCCGTGGCAGCCGGATGGGCCCTGCTCATGAACCCCACCCGGCACCCAATTGCAGTCCGCCTCACGGGCACCGTCGTTGTCGCTCGATTCTCTCCAGCAGGGAATGCGACGTCAACCTCACCGCCTGTCGAGCCAATAATCGCGCTCCCGTCTGGAGCATCGACCCTCTGGCTTCCTGATCAGTCCGCTCCAGACCCAGCCCCTGGTTGATTGGCTCCAGACAAACCAAACCGTTCTGTGAATGCATCATGCAGTCTGGGCAAAATGAACATTGACTGCAGGTGGTGAAGAAGAGTCATCCACCAACTTCACCTAAGCCTTCGAGGGGAGCAGCTGACAATACTGGCTACTGCTGGCTGAATGTGCCTTGTTGCTTGCGGAACGGTCGGCTGCTCCCAAGCGGCGACGACAAGCGTCTCCCAGGTTGACGTTGGTGGCCTTCGATCACGGATCCATCTACTGCTCGAGCTGCATGAAGTCGGTGCAACTATTGAATCATCGACCTCCAGGCAGCTCCAGGCTCCCTGACAGTACTCTCATCCATCACGTCCAGCATGGCCTGCCACCCATTTGCATCGGCTGACGCATGAGAAAGTCTCTCGTGCCATAGTCCCGCAGGACAGACTGACCATCCACCCGGAAACTGATAAAAAAAAAATGGCAAGGAGAGTGGGTGGATGAGTTTATTTTGGCCCACTCTTACTACGGGACGCTCGTAAAAATTCAGGGTCTCATCAACGGCGGCTGGACGGGCAGGACAATTTACTCGCAATTTCATCAGGGGCAGCGCCAGCAATCAAATTGCTTCCATGGCAACCCTGGGAGTTCTGGAACACCGAGGCGGCAGAACGGCTTCCCTTAGATCTCACACGGGAAGCCAGGAACCCAGCATAGCCATTCACGCGTAGCAACACAGCAACTGCATCAATGCCTGATCCCGTGCCTCTTCGCTCAGCACCACCATCCTGGCTGCTACCATCTCGGCCTGGATACAGGCACACAAGCACGTACACACCGCCAGCCACCGCAACACGGCAATCGCAGACGTCTCAGGTCGACACGGTCACTCGCCTTTGCCGCTGGGGCCGCAGGACGTCTGAAGCAGCCCGCAACGGATGGCACCGCCTGTCACCCAGAAACATGCCCGGCCCTCCCTGCCCCGGTGTCAGGGGAGGCTGGCAAGGCTGTGACAGTCCGCGCCCTGACAGGAACTACTGACGAAACCCGGACAGGGCCCAGGGCTGTCTCCGCACACACGCCATGGCCCTGCGGGCCACCAGGCCACACTTGCCGGAGTCCACGTAAGTCCGGGCTGGGTCTCAGCAGCTATTGGAAGGCGGTGGTGGTATGGTGTACGGTTGTCGTCGATTGATCACCTTGTGTTCATCATGCGCCCGTCTTCTGTGGTTGCCATGGACAATTTACCTGCCTTTCTCGATCGCCCTGTGGGCGGACTCGCTCGGGGGTGTACCCCTGCGCATGGGCCGCACAAGTTCAAGCGAACGGTGAACCTCCGACACGAGTCAGCGTCGCATTTGGGAACTCCGAAGAGCAGCTGAGAGGAAGAAATCGTCAAGAAACAAATGAACCATCAGACGAAATCCGGTGTACCAGCCTATCGGAATTTTTGAACCGAGTCGTAAATCAAGTCTGCTCTCCTCATCAGCGGTTTGACGCCGGCATCCATGTTCGGATGTCGTCCATTCCATTTCTGGCAGCCCTCGTCGAGCGCGAGACTCGTTCACTAATGACGAGGCACTCTCGAGGGCCGGTTACTGTGTACTGGCCTCTTCCGCGTTGGACCAGATGCGGACCAGATGCGGACCTGATGGAGCCAGGGCTCCGGGCGGAAGGCTGTCTGTGCCTGAAAATAACTTGCGGACAAAGGCACGTCGAACCTGGCCGCCAGGTACAGGCGCCAGTCCCAATACCGCAGTCTCAGACTCGGCAGCTCGGCCTGGGCTTTCATTAACGTTCCTTTACGACATCCCAGCCCATTACGCACTCCTGCTACCTGACGTATCATGGTGGCTTCCTTCGGTGTGGTTTTCCTGTCAAGATGACAGGCCAAGCGGAAGCTAGATCGAATCACGAGCTGCCCGCACCAGAAAAACGGCCCGTCTCAACCTGCCGATCGTCACTACGAAAAACCCTCCAAGGACCGTGTCTGCTCTTTTTGAGCCGGTCGTTGAGGCGCCGCTTGGTCTCTCCACCCACAGTCAGAGATTTTCCGCTCAGCAAGAAAACGGGTCTTTTCAGCACTATCGCCGAGCTTGAGCCGTATGACTGGTGAGAGACGAGAGCGCGGACCGGCCCCGGCTCTACCTTGTGCCCCCGCACTGCCTAACCTACCAGCCTACCAAGCAGCCCAAGATTCAAACGGCAGAGCAGACACGAGCATGGCGGTGCAGGGAAAAGACTGGAGCAGCCCTCGTGAGAATTTTTAGTGATGCCGGCCTTGTAACCTTGACTCCATCCCCCTAGGGATCCGACGATGCGGCTGTCAGTGCGGGGCCTGGCCCCCGTACGCCAGATTGCCCTCCCCTTCCACCGCCTTTCTCCTCGTCTGCCTCACCGCAACCCGGGCATGAAGCCCACGAGGCGCCTTCAAACCTCACGTAGATTGAGCGCTACCGAGGGTCTCCTGGCTTGTTCGCCCGTCGTCTGCACGGTACCAGCCTGCCGGGCGATGCCAAAAAATCGGAGGAGCGCGCCCTCATCGCCGAGAAGCAAACTTTCCGTGCCTTTGCCTAGTGTGCCCTCCAACTCGTCCGAGCCTGGACCTTGCGCTGTCCATCCACAAACCAGCCACACACAGAGAGGGTCGCAGCTGTGCGGATTGACCGCGCCGGAAAGCGAGTCGCGATCTGGATCATCTGTGCCTCCATGCGTGTGGTCAGAATGCAAGACTGCAACTCCGGACGCTGGTACCGAACCCGGAGCGGTGGTTTTGATCGATACCCACTACCAAAGCGCTCTCCCACTACGGCGGATTTTGGGCAAGATCTTTGGAAGCCACGATGTTCCCGTCCCGAATGTGTCCGCCCAGATTCGAAATTGCAACCCAAGTGTCCAATCACACGATACATCCGTGCTGCCATCTTTAGATCGCTCGCTGACATGGTGCTTGACATCACACGAGATGACCCCGATTCGCCCCCCCTCCCCTCCCCTTCGCCGGGGAAGTCGTATACGCAGTAGGCTCTTCTTTCTGGTTTGGGCGAGGTTTTTGGAGGCAGGCAGGCTGCGTTGTCGGCTGATTGAAACGGGCATGTCGACCCTCGACCGGCTCAAACCCTGCCGCGCATCTGTCAAGAGACCCGAACATTTGAATTTTTTGCTGCATGCATGAAGACAACAACCTGCATGTCTGCAGCCATTCGGCGCCGTGGTGAATAAGCAGGTCGCCCCCAGTTGACCCCGTCGCCCCGCAGATCCAGGCATGACTGCTTTCCAGCCGGTGCGTGACAGCGAATGGCGAACTGGACACCCCACGGATTCTGTGTGGGGTTTTCTAATGTGCGGCCCCTCTCGCCTCTGCGAGGCGTGGCAGGTGCGGTTGGATGACAACCTGTCCGGTCACAGCGCCGATGAGGAGTTGCTGCGTCTCAAGACCTCAGCAAGGCCGGGAAGGCCACAAGACTGATCCCGTCCTACCCCGTCCGGATCAATTCTAGACTCTTTCGGTGGACCCGCGGGCTCGGTACAATGCAGATCCAAGACGTTAGAGTTTTTCTTCTTTCTACCCTGCCCCTCCCATTGCCGAGAGGAGACGATCGTGCAGAACACGGGGCCTGGACAGGCAACCCTTCGTGCAGCCTAGAGAGGCAAAGGGCGAGGTTTGACATTCGGCACCCACATCATGACGAAGGAAGCCTGCCCCATCGTGACGGCGGCGGCGGCGGCGGGCCCGGCTTTTCTTGCACCACCACCACGTCAGTCTTGGAGCGAGGTTCCCCTCTCCAGTCTGCGTCAGGTTGGCCAGGCAGAGACTACAGTACCACGGCAGCCAGGGCGCCAGCCGAGCCAGTCAACTGGCCCGAACCTGAAGAGTCATGACTGATTCACTGACCTTGGTCAGATGCGAGATTATTCGCATTGGCATTGGCGCACTCTATGTAGCTTGGTGGCCAAAATTCTACCGGTCACATAGCCTCCCCGACGAACTGGGCAAATCTTGGCCACATTCAACACACAGTAACGCTTACACGGGAGTTGCCTACTGGCATGATTCCATCCAGAAGGCCCTAGGCGGATGTCTCACGACGTGCTCCTGGTAAGCTGCTGTTGCACAGGTCTGCAGGAGCCGATGTCAGCGACGGAAGTACTGCAGCAAAACCATGTGACGAGAGACAGGCCGATGGGCTGGCTAAACGCGGATGTCTGACCGTTGAGAGGGGATCCCAAGCCCGCCGCCCGCCGCGCCAGCACCCCCCTCATCCTCCTCTTGCCCAGGTGGGACTCGAGAGTTTAAAGTAGCTGCAGTAGCGCGTCTCTTTCCTGCTCTCGCCGTTGGACGGCCAGAAATAATATCGTCGTCATCCCCCTTTTCCTGAGTGACTCCCACCGTCTCGGAGGAAAGGCAGATCTCTCAGGGCCACATGGGCTCGCTGGCTGGCTGGAGCTTGCCTTCCGGGTGTGGCAGGACGGAACGCGAGGACGCTCACATCACCTGAAGCGTGGCGTAAGACCAGGGGCTGTGACGGAGGTGGTGGTTTGCTGGCGCACCTGCTCACTCCATCAGGAAGGAGACGGAGGTGTCCAGACTTTCATTGACTTATTCCATGTTCTCCTATCCCGCAATCCGAGATGAGACCCAACGGCCGACCTGCACCGCAATCAGTCACGGGGCAATGCCTCCTCGAGAAGCCGACTGTGTACGCGAACCGGTCATGTCTGCCGCCTGTCCACCTACTCTCTACGCAGTGCTACCTACACATTCAAGCCAAGCAGGTAGCATCCGGTTGAGCCGTAGCCTGCGCGGTTTTCCTCTTGTCTACGGTACCATTGTAAGGACTAGGGAGGGAGTGAATGCTCCCTCTCCCTCCTATGATCAGCGCCCTGTGTCAAGGTAGCCCGCCATCGATTCGTCGCAGACCCAAACCTGACAGCCCGCCTCGGCCTGCCCTTGCCCAGTCGGGCCAGTCGGGCGGCGGGATGATGACGCCGCGGCGCGGGCGGCTTTGATGCTGATCTTGCTGATCCGACGAGGAAGGGCAGGGAAAGGAAGGAATAAAGGAAGAAAAGTCCCGATCACGGTACATTCCTCTCCGGACAGGCACGACATGAGGTTCTCGAGGGCTGCATGCCATGTACATCGGGTGTCCCTGCTGTTGGATCTGGCCAGTGCACCAATCTGAACTTCTGCGGTGCTGGACACCTACAGTACCTAGCAGGCTCACAAAAGCTGCCAAAGTCCGCGGACTCGGGCAGCTGCTGTCGGGTGTGGGTGACGTCAGTGGACCCTTGGTTTTTCACCTCGGGGAATAATTCTGAGTTTCTCGTCCCTTCGCGTGGTCTTCACAAAATACACTGCATTCCACAGCCACTAGAGGGCTCGTGGGCTCGATCCAGGGAGGCGCAGAGAGTAATAATGTCATCTGCGCATCAACACAGCAGAGGAATGACCATGGCCAAGCCAGCGGCCTGTTTGTGGGCTGGTGGCACGCCTCAGACGCCCCAGCCACGCAAGGTCAACTGGGTGCATGGACTGTGGGCCATCGCCACTTGGGCGTCATCAGACACAGCAGGCACCTGGTGGGATACTGCGGGTACGGGTTTACAGAGACGATGAGGCTCAGTGCACGGTGATTTCGGGCAGCTGGGAGTTCCAGCCCTGGGATGACCAACTCCGGGGGCCTGACGACACAGCTTATTCTCATCCCACCGGAGACATCGCCAGCTCGAGTCTGCCGCAGCCGCCCAGCCCATTGGGCCGCGGCCAAAGGTGGGTACCGGGGGTGTGATCGACCTCTTCAGTAACACTAGGCGATGCAGATATCCACCTCGAGAGCGAACCAGGTGGAACATTCGGTCGAAACAAGGCAAGCGACCGAACGGCGGTTGAAGGGGCTGGGGCTGGGAGCCCTTCGCCCTTGTTAGTCGGGAACGGCGCGGACGGAGACCGACGATGGGGCTCGCTGGTGTTTGCCTACGCTGTCGACCTCACGTTTGCGAAGAACCTCGTCCCGGCATTGACAAGAGTCTTTCTCTCCAATGGAACCCCCATGTTCGGTAGACTCCTAGAGAGCAGGCCTGCGCTGATTGATAGTCGGTCGGCTTTGCACACGTGTGAACTCATGTCACGGACACCAAGCATTAGTGGTGACGAATATAGAGCGCCGGCTATCAGCTCGCGGTTCCAGCAGCTTTGCCAATTGTGGTGCCTTGAAGAACTACCGGCGACCAGACCAAAAGTGAGTGTGAATATAACACGCGGCGGCGCTTCCGGGCTACACGAGAAGCCATCAACAGAATATCCTTGGAATCCATGTTTAGGTACAGGAATGTTGCAAATACTGAAGGCTTCAGTTGCGATGATTGTAAAATTGTACCACATCTATCTACTCGATGAATATCCCAGAATGGAGGGCTCTTGATGCCCCCGAAAACCAAGGGACAGAACATGTATCAAACAGGAAGGGGTCTGCATCACCTGAAAGGTGGAAGTAGAGTGGTTGCAAGCTCATGAGCAGTTCGGCGCAGATTCTTTAGCCGTTCAGGTGAGCGTATGGCTCGACGTTTCATCGTCGAAGCCCACGGCACGCTTTTTTGCTTTGCCTTCATTCAAGACTGGCTACTTGATGTCGACGCAGTACTACAAGGTAACAGCAAAGCCTTGTCAATGAAAAATAGCTTGATTAACTGTTGTTCCATCCTGATTTCATTAAAGACGTCGTCGTCGGTATCATAATTCCTAAACTCCTCATCCCAATGGTGCCTGTTGCATGCGCCTCTTCCGACAACAACGGGAAGGGGGTATCTGATATACATGTGGTTTGGCCGCAAGGCCCGGCCTCTCTCTCTGCTCTGTTGATGCCTAAAATTTCCACATCTCAGGCGCGAGCCACAGACCGGTCTCCCTGAGAGCCCAAAGCTGTGGTAGTCTTCAAGGCTTCCTTGCAACATCTGATCGCTTGATCAAGGCTTCTCTCTTTTTCTTGCCTGTTTTCCCCCTACTTCATCAGGAATGACCCAGGACACTCAATCAACTTCCTAATACGTGGTGAAATAGCCACCTGAGACAGATTGCCACTGAAAGCACATTGGACCAAGACGTGTGGTTTGGCTCGATTTACCGCGCGCTATACGGCACGATCGCCTTGTCAATGATAGGGTTCCGCCTGGATTTCGCGTTTGCCTCTACGCCCCACTTAGCATGCCAATTTTTTTCCTGCGCGGCGGCCGTCTCAAAAGCCTCACGACACTCGGGTGGCAAGCAGTCCTTGATCTCGTCGCTGACAGCGCCCAGGCCGCGGAACGGTGCCAGGAAGTCGGAGCCGTTGTCGCCGTTGGCCGAGCCCTTTGGCACGCTGTCGTAGGTGACGGCGGCGATACCCGAAGGAGGGGTCTCGAAGTATGTATCAGTGACCATGAAGTTGCGTGGGATGCTGGGGCTCAGGGGTGGGAAGATTTGGGACTCGGCGTTGACATCGTCGGGGTCCGAAGCCGCGACCGGCTCGATGCGCGCTTGTGTAGGTTGCATGATGGCGGGATATTGAATGGTGTTGGTGGACATCGTACACGCCCTTGTTGTTGCGCCGGCGGATTGCGTTGATTTGAGCGTTGAAGTTCCTATAGACGAGCATTAGCACCCACGTACGTCAAGCAAAAAGGGTCATCCTACTAACGCAGCTTCTCGAACATGCTCAAACATCCAGTTGACGTCGTTGACAGCAACGCGGCGCTTCTTCATCTCTGCCACCTGAGTCGTTGCAATAGGCGCGCTGGTATGGTAGACTTGACTGGCACCAAACCATGCGACATACTGGTTCTTGTTGTACGGTTCGTTGGGGTTATACTTGTCGTTGGGGTCCGCAAGCGCCCCTTCAGCGTGGCCCTCGTCTCTTGAGCGCTGAATGTCGTAATCGTCGAGGATCCAGCGACCACCAACCAAGATCAAGGCGCCAAATTCGCGGTACACCGATCGGGCCGTGACCACACCTATGGATCGACCTTTGTAAGAGTGGGGTATCAGCTCGCGCTCGATCATGTCGCGCTTCTCATCATCGGTCACAATGCTCTTGTACAGGCGGCGGTGCTTGGTGAAGAAGAGGTAGGAGTCTCGGAATCCCACGCAGCGAGCCGGCTCCGTCGACAACATGTACAGGCGGTCGCCACGGCCCTGGATGGTGAAGGTTCGGCAACGGTACTCGCGGCCCCCTTGTAGATAGCCCATCTTGTCAACCTTGGTCTCGCCCTCGGGATCCTCCGGGAGAGCGAGCTCGTCTTCGATGATATCGTACACTGGGCCGTCCTTTTCGATGGCCTGCTGCGTGACTGGGGCAGGCTGGCCCTTGCGTCCGCCCCGGCCGCGCCAGCCCCCGCGCCCACGACGCCGTGGGGTCGCTTCATCTCGAGGCACTTCGATACCCTCGTCCCAACCAGGAGGTTTGACCTTGGGTGGGCGACCGAGCCTTTTACGGCGTATGACGGGTTGGGGCGGAGGGCTAGGTGATTTGTCCTCGGGCACGTCCTCGACTTCCTCCTCGGCATTCTCAGCAACGGCGGAAGCCTCGCCATCGGTGCCATCTCCATCTCCCTCCGTCTTCTTGTCATCTTCTGGTTCGGCATCAGGCATGTGCTCGTCGTCGTCCTCGATTTCCTTCCATGTCTTGGGGGTGTTCTCTGCGACGGGGTTAGACATGTCTCTTGTGGGTGAATTGCAGCCGATGCGGTGTCCCGGTTAGCAGCGAGGAGCAGCCGTCGCCAGAAGTAACCTGTGACGGCTTGCAGAGGAGGTGAAGGGTGGCAGATGAAAAGCCCGACCGGGACTGTGCCCTGGCGGGTGGAAAAGAGGAGCCCGTAGCTAGGGTTGGTTGGGATGCTCCCATTAAAGACTTACCCAGTGCTGCGGCTGCGCGCTTAGCAGCAGCTCTGCCTGACCTTCGACCCGACATCCTGATAAACTGGCCCAGTACTGAGCTGGTGTGATAGGGGTTTCAACTGCGACAGATGAGAGTCTACTAGACAAGACACTGGCATTGAGGGCTCAATGTCATGTCTTTGGATTGGTAGTAGCAGGAAGCGGAAGTCGAGGCTGGACGCGACAGACGTGCCTAGGAATTTTGGGCCTTGGCTGTCCTATCCGATCCAATCATTCGGAACGGGCGGACCCACTCTGCCTTATCAGATGCACTATCTGTGAGGCAAAGGCCCCGGGCCACACTGTTCGGTGCAAATCACCATGAGATTGTCATTTTCGACTGTTGCGCCCAACTAGACAATGCTGAAGCTTTACATGGTCAAACGTCTTCTTCCTATCAACTCAGCGTCGTTGTGTGGGATCTGTATCCAAATATTCCGCGATCAACAAGCACATAACGTAGCAGTCACTCAGGGCTAAGAATGGAGAGAACTTGTGATATCCACGGTTTGTATTTGGTTGTGGGGTAGCAGATAGAGTCGGCTTCTACATGAAAGGGATACTTGACCTGACCTTGGCTGGGGGCATTGAAATCATTTCTAAGCTTTCTAAGGGTCACGTTAGCACTAGACCGCATGAGTTCATCGCGGCCTCTTCATACGGCCAGACTGCACCAGCACAGGTTAATCACAAGCAGGAGTACAGGTGTCGCTAAATGAGTAATTCATCTGCATGTACCCTATGCCTGATGTGTGGTTGACCTCTGTCTTGGCTCAATCTTGATCATCCTCGCAATACCAACCAATGACCAAACAGGCTGGGTAGACAACCGTCCAAAAAGAGCCATTAATAGCGGGCTCAGCGCTGTGAAAGAAAGACGTATCATGGAGACACGCATGTCCCATGCTTGGGGTAAAGCATTAGCCTCAGGGGTTCCTGGACGACTGGACGCTCGCAATGTAATGGGCTTGCCCAGGGTGCTGAGGAGTGGGCGATAGCTTCGACGGGCCACCGGCTTCCTAAGAACCAACGTTCGAGTCCACAGGCGAGACACGACCTTCGACGACGGGTAGAGGCGAAAGGGCGTTGCCACGAGGGGGTCGGGCTGCCTTATCAACCTATGCAGAAGGCAGCCTCTCGATCTTACCACGGCCCCGGCTCTTCTGGAAAGCCTCCGCGTCAAGCAAGGACTCCTTCTCGGCGTAGAGGTACTTGTAGGCGGTCTTGATCGTACCGTCACTCACACCGGCCACCACGGCGATGTCTTTGGATGTCTTCGCCTCACCCAAGTAGTGGGTGGCCATGAAGATGCAGGCCGCCGCGACCGACAAGGGAGACCGTCCAGCCAGGGTACTAACCTGGCCGGTCTTCTTTGCGATAAGCATGCCGACAGATTCGACCTCGGACTGGTTGCGCACACCCAACTGGGACACGTATCGGCGTACAAGATCCTCAGCATTAGTCGAACCTCGCTGCTCGAAACCGCTGACGGTAGACACAGCGCTGTGGCCAACCTTGTCGCCTTCGTTTTGGATATCCACCAGGAACTTCTCGAGTAGCTTGAACACCCGACCGATCTCCTTCTTGGACACGCGGGTAAGGTTGAAAATCTCTCGGAAGGTTCTGGCGACACCGCCTTGACGGCACGCAACGAAGATGCATCCGGCAATGACAGCTTCCTGGGGCTTGCCCTTCAAGAATTTCTTCTCGTCGGCCACTTTCATTTGGGGTGAGCAAATTGCCTTACAGGAGTTCATACAAGCGAAGGAATCATGTACATACGCTTGAAGATGTGCATCGCTGTGTCGCGAAACGTTGTTTCCGACTTGAAGAGCATCAGTCAGAGTCTTGATTTGCGAGAACCCTTCCTTGAGGTTCTTCGCTCCCTTCTCAACCGTCTTCTGCTGCGTCTTCATCAAGTGGAACGAGTTGCTGCCCTCGCTGCCAATCGTAGTCTGCAAGGTCGCGACAGTGTCCTCGAAGAGAGGGTTGCCCACATCACCGACACGGGACGGGTCATCGTTGTTCGTGTCGTCATTGGCAAACGTGCGCCACTCAGATCGCGTGTCAACGATTTTGTCTCCAACCTATGGGAATTTCGGTCAGTATCAGTGTGATATGAAGCCTAGGGACCCACTTACAACAAGTCCACAGGTTGCGCAAACCATGTCGCCGCTGCTGAACTCCTCAGTAAGGTTTGGCGGGAACTCTTTGCAGTCGGGGCACATCATGATGTGAGAGACTTGGTCGTTCTCCTTGTAGTCATCGTTGGGGCCCCCGACAATCGTCGCGGGCGAGGTTGTCGACGCCATAGCGTTGGAGCTGAGGGTGACTGACGAGGAGTCGTTAACCACCTCAGCGAACACCTCGCGATCAGTTCCAATTATGCTAGGGGTCTTTTTGGCCGCGACGTGTTTGATCGGCTTCGAGTTTGAGAAGGACTGGCTGATCGTTTGTTGCGGGCGCAAAGTCTTGGGTTCTCTCTTCCGAGCGACGTGGATGTTGTGCTCTGCGTCTAGGCGTATCTTCCTCTTCGCTTTCCTCTCCTTCCTGAGATCTGCTTTGTGCGATTTGATTGCCCGAGTGACGTGGGTATTAGTGGTGTCTTCTGTGCTTCTTGAGAGAAGGTTGGTCGCAACTGAACGGAAAAGTGGTGAATGCGTCTTGACGGTCTTGCTGGGACGTCCGTAAAGACGGCCCTGTCGCTTGGTGCTAGCTGATCTCCGCCAATTTGTTCACCCTATCTCGTGCAATGACTTCGTCGATGTGAAACACCCCAAAGTACCGAATGAAAATGAATCGGTCGCTACTCGAAGCTCGCGCGGGAAGTCGACTTGAAAACCACCGCAAATGACGCCCCAGAAATCGTTACGGGAACCGTGAAGCGCTCGTGTGTCGTGTTCAGATCGAAAAGGAAACGGGTTCACTGGACAAAAGGCAGGCTCGCGTCCTTGTTGCTTTGTCGCCGACCGCTTTATCTGCAACCAGTGAAGGTGTCCTCCACGAGCAACAATGCGATCTGGGTCGATGCGCCTTGTCCCCGTCGAGAAAAAAAAGCAGGTCAGAAACTGCGGACAACCGTCTCTGCAAGATCGACAGCACTGGAGTGGCAGACGATAGTGAGAGTGACGGGTTCGTGGGCGAGAACGATTGACGATGGGTAAGGAGAGAAGATGATGTTTGGGCTTGGTCAGGCAGTCGTCTGTGACAGAAAGTTGACTGATGGTTTCAGTGGGGACCATGGGGCCGGCAGCTGACTGGCTGACTGGGCCAGTCACTGGCTCTGCACTGCCTGACTGCCTAAGAGGCAAGAGGCTGAGTCAGGCCACTCAGCTTAGCCTCCCAGGTACGTACCTTCCTAGCGCCGTGATTACCAACATTACCTTGGGAGACCTCAACCCGACTACAGTACATCATTCAGGTACTGAGGTAGTTAGTAACTTGCCTTGTGAATAATTACAAATTCACACAAGCTCTTATTTATAGGAAATGAGTCACTGATCAGAAGCCCGGCTGGATGATTGCAAAGTCGTACGTGAAACTGTATAGCACTCAGGCATGGACACACCAGCCATCGGCTGCTGTGTCCGCTGTGGCCCCCTCGGGCTCAGGACATGGATTTGGAAGAATTCGTCCTGTCTGATCCCGTTTCAGTTTTCGTTTTTGATGGTGAGGTCACCAAATCCGCCCAGGTCAGCCTCTTGATGCTACATATAAATCACTTGGTACTACTTCGCCGTCTGCAAAAGCGAGGCGAAGGCAAATCATGGGGAGCAAAGCCCTTTACTCTGCCATAGAGGCTCTGCTTTTGGAAATCCACTTCGTTAAAATACATAGCTAGCCTATTGCTGTTAAAGGCATATTTGACCTGCTCCAACGCTGTGCTTGCTTACACCCCTGGGAAAATTGGTATCCGATAGAAGAGGACTGGTCGAGCCAACGACATTTTCAGACCACCATAACTTCTGGATTTGAATGAGAAGAAAGTTTCAAAATCAATACACCAATTCATTTCTTCGAGCAGGATAATGGCGAACTCACAAGGAAGAATTCCGAGCCGTGGAGGAGCGTAGTGGAGCTTGTTGAACTCGGCAGCCGAGTCCCGGCCTGGAGACGGCTTCGGGGAGTAAGCCTCCGGGCGAACGACCTAGGCGTACTTTGAACGTAGTCAACTTTCTCCATGAAGTGATGTAAAATTCAAGTCAACTCTTATATTTCACTGTTCAAGGAAAGCCCAAAGCCAACAATACCTGGAAGACTGGTACAATACGTTCTGATCTATAATTTCAATTCAACTGGACCTGCTTCAACTTAATGTGTTCTCAACCATGTCTTCTCAGCCAGTCATAATCCCGACAGCATATTTGCATGGAAAAGTGGCCTTGATTACAGGCGCAAGTCGAGGAATTGGCCGTGGTTGCGCTCTTGAGCTTGCCAGACGTGGTTGCAAAATCGTAATTAACTACGCGAAGAGCAAACAAGCTGCAGATGACGCAGTCAATGCCATTGTGGACGTTACAGGCTCCAAAGACGCTGCCATATCCATCCAGGCCGATGTAACCAAGGTCTCTGAGATTGAGAGGCTGTTTCAGGAGGCAGCAGACCACTTTGGAAGGATCGATTTCGTCTTCAGCAACAGCGGGGCCGAGTCCTTCGACAAGACCGAAGAGATCAGCGAGGCGCAATACGACTATTTCTTCTCACTTAACACAAAAGCCCAGTTCTTCGTGGCCAAGACTGCCTGGAAGCACCTCCAAGATGGTGGCCGTGTGGTCCTCATGAGCTCCCTGGCAGCAGGTGCGCTGGGGATCAAAGATCACGCCCTATACAACTCATCAAAGTTAGCTGTGGTTGGTATGGTCAAGGCTTTTGCGACGGATTTTGGTTCTCGCCGCATAACTGTGAACGGGATTGCACCTGGGGGTATAATATCAGATATGTTCTACGAGAATGCCTGGCGTTACATTCCCGGTGCTACTGCGGATTGGCCATTCGAAACTTTTGAGAATATGGCCGCGAACAGGACGCCTCTTGGTCGTTGTGGTGTGCCTGAAGATATTGCAAGGGTTGTAGCCTTCCTGATGTCAGAAGACGGCGGATGGGTAAATGGTAAGCAGTCTACTTCCCGAACCGACACGAAATGGCTTCAAATATTTAATACATCTCCAACAGGGCCAATTCTCACTATTACTGGTGGTTATCCTTAGAATTTCCGGTATCTTGAAGGAGATCATGAATCTCATGGAAATTTCCAGTGTAGCTCCTCCGATTCACGTAGCTACCGGGCATGCGCAGCTCCTCAGCTTAGTTGTTGTTTTTGATTTCTTTACTTCAATGTACGTCTTATCCTTAGTAAATCTGCGCACGATACACAAGTATAGTCCAGTCTACAGATACGCTGCGATAGGGCGAATAAAAATCAATCATATAATGGGGCTGCGTATTGACTCTGCATAAAAATGTACCTAAGTATATATAATGCCTTCTGACATTACTTTATGTCGGGAGATAAAGGTCCGACGATTCAGCACCAGTCCACACATGCGTATAGGGCGTGCATTTTGATCTCACCATCAAGACGTTTATTGATAACAACAAAGTCTGTGTAAGTGCGAGAGCTCGAAAAAAAAATCTATTCTTAATTATCATCTATCCCAGTACAGCCTCCATGATATGCCATTCACTCGACCCAACCCCGGAATGCTTTCCGACAACTTTCAATCCTACAGATTCCAGCAAATGCTTCATTTGACCGGCAGAGCGCTCCATGGCCGCATAGACAGACATCATGAGCAGATCCGACTTTGTAGCCACCGTGCTCGGATTTACGTCCGCAACCAGCTTCTCATGAATCAACAATCTTGATGTTGGTCCCATTGCGTCTTTAATGTGGGCAAGAAACTTGCGACAAACGACATCATTGTGATCGTGCAGTACTCCACGGAAGTAATACCCTTTGGCTCCTATCTCCCTCGAGGTTGGTTGTGAGCGCAACGTTTCTAGGAGATGGGGTAGAGGATGATGGGATTTGGTCGAGTGTTTTCGAAATTAACGTACCTTTCACGGGCTGCCCCTTGATCATGTCAACTTCCATGACTTCCACATCAGGTATGCGCCTATTTGCTACAATACTTGGACGGTCTTGTAAAATAACTCGCCCGGAACTTCTTGGAAATGACTTGCGCAGGCTGATACATTGCTGCCCGAAGCCTCCGCCGCTGGATACCACGAGATGCTTGAATTAGCTTGGAGAGAACTGCTGAGGGAGAATCGCCACGCGGCACCAAAAGCACAGCTGTGCCCCACAGACCAATCAGTGTCAGGGGACAGCAAATTTACACGTCAACGAAGAGTATTTCTTCAGGGCGAGAATCTTTGAAAAGCTTCTCGAATGGGTAAAACTCGCACAGGTTGTCATCATCAAAGCGACTACGTGCCGCGGTCATGGTCATGTAAACATTGAAATGGCGGGACATTTCCGGGTGAGACTCCAGCCATTGCCAGAATGTCTCCTTGGTATGCCAGCCGTACTGCCAGGCGCAGTTGTCGGGATCCGTCGAGTCCCCGAGGCCAATGTCTCTGAGAAAGAAAGGCAAAGCTGAATAGGATCGCATGCAAAAAAGCCTTTTCCCTGTTAGCACCACGTCTCAGCACATAACAGGAGGTAGAGACAGGTAACCAGGAATCCGTCCTAGAATTACTTTCGAATGGTGCACTTACATTGTCCAAACGTTTGCGACCCTCTCCTCTGTGGCATAGTCCCTAGTTCTGGCATTTGCGATGTATGCGCCAGTGTCCTGCTGGTCAACAAAACCGTGAGCAGCCAGGAATCGGAGTGTCCGCTCAACAAGAAGCGGGTCACCCTTTGCTCCTTTCTTGAAGACTTGTCCAGTATTCAAGGGCTCATTCGCTTCTGACAAAATGGTAAAGAGCCCTATATCGCAGGCGATTGCTGTGCCCACAATCTCAAGAGGCTGTAGGGTTGTACTGTGAACATTAGCCATCAAGTATACCTGAACATACGCCCAGCCCTTTCCAACCAGGCGAATGCTATTTCACCCTACTGGCACGGATAAGAAATCAACTATTAAAGCTCATGCCACTTACAACCCATGTTTGCTGCGTGGCCAGTTCGTCGTCTGTTTGCAGAAGCTTCAGTGTATTTTGGGCAGCTCTAACGGCCGCCAAACGGTGCTTCTCCAGAGAGCGTTGATCCTGTGAATTGTTTTTGAATGCAGCAGGAACCTGGCTGCAAAGACTTTGGAACTGCTCAGTGAGCTGTTCTAAGTCATGGTTCCCGTTCATTTTTGCTGGCTCTATAGAATGATAGGTGGAGGTGAGTTTGGAGTGATGCTTCTGCAACTAAAGACAAGTGTATAGAGATGATGGTTGGGGATGGTTTGTCATGGACAGCTTTGTAGCACACATTTTCAACACATTTTGGAGTTGTAGCTAATAAGCAACTTTACCTTATACCATTAGGTTACTACTACCTTTAAAAAAAACATTGAACACGGCTGCCGATACCCGGATTCCTCGCAGCGGCATCCGTAATACTGCGGGGCTTAGCCTTTTGGGAAAGTAGTACTGTACGCAGTCAGAAAATGAGAGTCTCAAGAGTGCTGGGCCATTGCCTGATGCTAAGTCAACAAGAAATTCGACAGAGCTGTAACCGCACTGGCCGAATTACCACAGCCACTTGCAACGTGAGTCTTGTCGCGGGGAATTCGCAGGCGTAGCGCCGGCAAGGCTCGAATCCCGGCACCCGGGTGCCGAGGAGCGCCGAGCTTGTTCTTGAACCACTGCCCGAAGATGCCTTTATGCGAATACGTTTTCGTGTTTATTCGCAATTCGAATGCATTTTCGCAGCCCAACACTGGGCAGAAAACCTCTTTCGTCTGAACCGCTCACTTGTAACGTGAGGTATGTATCAAAGCCGATACCTGGGTACAAGAGACTGGCGCCTTGAGAGGCGCCGCGTATGTGTGAAATGGTGCTTACCATGTTCAGGGACACCTAAAGCGGGAGAAGTTGTACCGGAGTAGAAGTATTTACACATATATGACTAGTTTGTAAGATGCAGCAAGCCGATTTATAGTAGGGTCAACTGCGCTGCTGGCTCAAAAGGGTGACCACCCTCAAAAAGCTGAGAGTGACGATGGTCTACTAGTAGAGGTAGAGGAAAGCGAGAAACCACATAATCGATATCTAGCATTTGAAAATTGGCTGTGTGCCTATTGGTACAAAGAGTTTCACACCCAGATGTGCAGCCTCTTGTTCCAAGCCATTAGGGCTCCGCAGCCTATGGCAACTATCCGGTGCCAACTTGTTTATGAAAGAAGACTCAAGGCTCGATCATACCTCGGAATCAAAGACGCTAGAAATGCATGTCGAGGTTGAGTCAGTCTCTGCTACTTGGGGCGTGCCAGCCTCGACTTGCAAATGTAGGCGGCACTACTTGGAGGGATCTGCCAAAATTTGTGTTCTGCAGAGCCTTCTCCTTTCACTTCACCATGCTGATAAATCTCAAATCCTATATTTCCGCCTGTTTGCCTCTGGAATTTGAATATCTGAGTAATAGGACTTGGAAGCGCCATGAATCATGAATCATAGCTCTTTTTCAAGTCTATATTTGGCCATGCCGCCACTCCTGCCACTCTACCTGGAAAACATGTGCAATTGGACTGTTGATAACAAATTGAAATGTTCATGGAAGCCTCTTAATCTCATGCCTGAGCCCGTCACGCCTGGTTCTGGAAGATAGGAAGGACGAGAGTATCAGTCGCTGTCGAGCAGAACATTGAGTATGATAGAGGCGTACAAAACATATGTTTCTCGCACACATTCGGTGCCACATAAAACAGTCAACTTTTAAGTCGTAATTGAACTCGAGTGGCAGGAATAGTGTTGTATATGTTTCCTCTCCAGGGTGGCTGCATTCGGTCTTCGCATGCATGATTAACTCGGAAGAGGGGTGTCAACACGGTGGTTGAATTCCTCTTTGTGATCGATAATGAAATAGGATGCTTGTTGAGAGTCAGTATGAATAGCTAGGCTTGGAGTCTCCACGAAATCATTATACACACCTGTGGTGGCCATAAGCATGAAAGGTATACCAGTACTCCAAATGTACCGATAAGCTAGGGCGATGGAATCCAGTCTCGCCACGGAACCAGCATTGATAATCTCTGGCATGATTCCTGGCAAGGATGCAACAGCACTGATATTCCCGGACGTCTGCATCAAAATCTGAGCGAATTGCTGAGCAGTATCCGCAGAAAGGCCGGCCTGAGTGGCTGCTGTTGCCACAGTGCCAAAACCACGCGAGTATTGGTTGTTGTACACAGCTGTGTCTAGGACAGCAAAAGAAAAGACCAATTAGCTGGTAAATACGGAAGTTTTAACCCAGTAGATTCACTTACAGATTGGAATACCAACACTTCCTCCCAGAGCTCGGATGCCAATGATGATGCCGGTTGCGCTGGCGATGAGCTCCGGTGGTGTGGAGAGTTGTGCGGTTGTGACAACCACATGAAAATCAGCGAACATAACCAGAAGGACCCTCTTGTCTGGGATGTGCAGTCTCTTCAACGAACTCACGTGTACTAGTGACAAGACCAAGCCCCAATCCGAGGAATACCGGATGAGCCCAGACCTCTTCTCTAGACTGAGCACCGGCGGAAGCCATGAGCGCGAAGAAGATTGTGAACATAATGAATCCAGTGAGCGTAATGCTCTGTCATATTGTGGTCAGCCAATTCCATCCGAATCGGGGTCTGAGATCTTTGGGCGTGACTCACCCGGACTTTCTTCGTCGCGGTGCATATTGCGCCAGCCACGACTGAGGAGGCGGCGGCAGAGAGCCACGCAACTTATGTTTGTAAGTAACCCCGGTCAGTCAAGTTTTCGGAATGCGTACATTAAGAGACGTGAATGATTGTGGCGAACACTCACCACCGTAATTGATCCCAGTCATCACTGGGTCCGCTGCAAATAGGGTGGAGATCTGGAAGGATGTCGGTTCTCGGCTACGAGTACAAAGCAGACATATCTGTTCTAGTGTTTAAACGAACATCGCTAGCAAGGTAAGCATTAGCGCCCATGAAAGCGAGACCCTCGCAGAAGAGGCAGACGAGGGTCAGTGGAAAATCCCGCACAATCTGGCGCAGGATCGGCGCGCAGTTCTCAACCGACCAGTTATGACAGATGTGACGCAGGACATAAACATCCGCCCCGGTAGTTGGTTGCGGTTGGAAGAAGTCATGCGGCACGAACTGCACCCGTGCAGAAAGCTCGGATGGGAGTCGAGCGGCACCCTCCTCAACTGTGTATTTATAGTCTTGAACCACTAACTTGGTGAGATTCGGGTGACTTCCAGCTAAGGCGATGCTAAGGAAGCCTGAGGAGCCACCAACCTATACCAAAATCTTCTGTCAGCAGCGTGAAGCGCAGATTTACCCAAAATGAATGTTCAGCTGCTAAATAAATGGAATTGAACACTTATGACTTACATCAACAACAGTGGCGCCATTGCTTAGCTTCTCCCAGGGGTAGCCAGTCACAATGTGCCTGAGATCATGACCTGGGTCCTTGCCCACTCCCTCCATCGCACCAAAGAACCGGGCCTGACGCTCAGGATGCTGCTCAAGAAACTTGTAGATCAGGTCTCTCGTATTGAAGGCCAGGTTGAAGGCGCTGTCCTCGGGTGCCTTGCTGCCCTGATATTTCTCGAGTGCCTCAGCGAGTTTGGCACCGGCGGGGAACATCTCTTCGACGCAGTGCCAATACCAGTCTCTCATGACATGATTGCGGAGAAGCAGTGCGGAAGAGGCTGTATGCTCTACCAGGGTCCCTTTGCTGCCGTCAACCTCGCGCAGTACACGATTGACGGCTGCCTGGCGGACTATAGCTTTGACCTGCGCCTCCGCCAGACCTACTTTGGCAGAGATATCTTCGTAGGATGCGCTGCCACCGAGCGGGATTGTGTCAAGGATTCCAATATGATAGATGCATTGAAGTACCGAATTATCATTGGACTGTGTACTTTTGTCAGCATGTAGTACTGGCAAGTGGGTGTACACATTACTCACACCCCAATAGAGACGGCGCAAGACCTCGCCAGGACCGATGATCAAATCATGTAGAGCGCTTGTGTCATCCATGATAGCGAGTCGAGCTGTGTCTATCTCTGGGGACTTCGCCGTAGATGGGAATTCCTGATCTGCGTCCTGGTGGAAAGACGGACTTTTGCATTTCTGGCTGGCCAGCCACTTGTTGACCACAGCCGAGTTCCGGGCGATTCTCTCACCAAGCTCTTAAATAGACGCCATATTTACTTATGATCCAGGCCTGTCCTCTGTGATACCAACGAGCTTTCCAGAAGAAGAATTACAGACAATTACGTGGTGTAAACACCTTGTTGGGTTCGTCTCCGTGTGCGATATATACATTGGCCAGCACCCCGAAACGAAGCCGAGGAAGCTACAGTGGAGGTTTAAGACAAATTCTCTAGCGATAGTTCCTAATTAGATTCTCCTGTGAGAGGAGGCTGTCAGAAACGCGTTTCGGCGTGCAGCAGCGAACGTGGACGCGGAGGTCGGAGGTCGGAACCCGGCGGCCATGCCCACGAACTAAGTGTCAGGGGCCCTACGGTGCTTGAGGTCCAAGGTCAATGTTGCCGGACGGTCTGTAACCAATTAACTGCGTGCGACACCGTGACTTATATCTGACTACACTCCACTGAACTGAAAAGAGACTGGAATGAAGAATCGCAGATACCGATCAATCGTCGCTGTTGATGTCAGTAGGCATAAGCGAGGGCTCTGTGGAAATTCTCCTTCGGCAGTCAACTCGAAGCCATAAAAGTAGGCTTTCACAACAGTGAAGAAATTCATGACCTGAATTTTAATAATTGAAAAAAATGAGAGAAGCACAGTGATAAATGGCAGATGAGCTTATTGAGCATTTTCACGGTGGGCGCCGAAGCACCTTGCACCCACCGCATAACCTATTTGATCTCGCACATGCCAGAATTTCCAACTTATGTATGTAATTCTCGCACCGTTACGATCGAGCGGTGTCTTGTAAAAATAACCACCTCGCCTGCTCATCCCATCCCTTTGCCATCCAGTCATTGATACTACGAGGAAAGAAATCCAGGACATCCAACAAAGATGCATCGTGTGCGAGAATCACCATGATGTCGTCTCGACCGTCGAATGCCTTCAGCTTCTCGAGTGTCTCCTGAGCTTTACCTGCATCTTCCTGCAGCAACGGTGCTAACTCATAAATTGCCTTGTCGCTATGACCACTAGTGTGCAGCAGACGCAGCAATTGTGCACAGGGGCACGGACTTGATTGAAAAGAGCCTGAAGGGCTCAGCATGTTGGCGGGAAGACTTTGTGACAAGGCTCTGAACTGGCTGGATCTTAGCTGTGCTACGCTGTCTTCATTGCGGTCAGCTGTCTGATAAAAATCATGGGAATTGGCCTCATTTGGAGAACTCCAGACAGTGCACTACTTACGACAACAGTCAGCGCCCATCAAGACCCAAGAGTCTGGTGTCGTACGGCACAGAGCCCCAAGGCGATGCCCAGTATGACCGGGGCACTCAAGGACCCAAAACGAACCATCTCTCCAAAAGTCCACGGCGCGAAACCCGCCAATATTCGCAATGTCTGAGCCGTGTTTGCCAAAATCAATTTCTTTCACAAAACGGCCCTGGAAGGCGCTGTCCAAGACTGTTGCATTAGGATTGACGGGGTAGCCGGGCATGTAGGCAGATTTGAACCCCGGACCGACTACCAGATCCGTGCTGCACGGGAAGACGGATGGATCTCCGACGTGGTCGATGTGAGCGTGCGGCCAAATGATGCTGTTGATTCCAGAAAGGTCTTGTCCATGTGCCTGGAGTGTGTCGGGGACGTCACAGAGACGCTCTATTTTCATGACCGGATCCGCAACATCGGTGCCTCCAGCAAGCATGGCCTTGAGGGAAGGAGGCATCCGGGTGAGCAGGTCTTTCACGAAAGCAAGATCGAATAAGACCTTCTGCGACCGGTGGTACGATTCAACCAAGAAGCTGTAGCTGGCCAGGCGCTTGTACTTGTGGACGGCTGAGCTCGGGGCCGGGTGGACGAGCATGCTGGACAACATTTGCGCCGTTGCACCGTTGATGACCGAGACCTTGGCACAATGGCCTTTGTAAGCAGGAAATTGAATATCCTCCGGCCGGTATCGCGCAACTCTGTTCGCCGCCTCTGATTCATTCTGCCTTCGTACATGTGAAAAGTGTTGTTGTCCTGCTACCTTGAGACTTTTCTGCAGCCAAACTGTGCGAGTCTTCCTGAAATACTGCGTACTCGCTGACGCCCCAACGGTGCGGAGTACCAACATGGTGGAGAAATGGCAGCGGCGGTATTCCGAGTCTCCGCCACTTAGCTTTGGCCGTGGTTGGGCAAAAGACTTAACCACATTATTGGCTAAGAGTTTTCTGGAATTCAGGAAAATACAAAGCTGTCCAACGGATTCAGTGAATGATCCCGTGTGAATGCCTCGCAGTTCAGATTTACACCACCTCTGCGCTGTCCGACCGCCGAGCGGGAAGAAGCCCCCTATCCCTGGTGGTTGCCTCAGTCGGACTTGCTTTAGGTTTGTTGGACCAGAAAAGTACTCTTCCGAGCGCAGCCGTAGATAGATGAATCATGCAAGCTGTCGGTGTGTGCATCTGTCATTCGCTCTGACGCTGCATATGCGTGTCTACCTCTTATCTCCAGACTATGACCGAAGTCGACTACGTGTTTGTTGGTGGCGGACCAGCAGGCTTTATGCTAGCTCAGCAATTACGTTGAGCCAGTCTATGCATGCATGCCTGCTGTTGGAAACCGGGCCCGCAAATGCCCATTTGAATATATTCACATGGAAGCTTCAATGTTGAGTGTTGGCCGGTAAGACAAGATGTCTGTTTAAAATAGAGCTCGAGGTACCTACTGGTCTTCATCATTACCTGTGATATTAGACCATGCGTATGTCTGAAGATGTGTGGCCTAGGGTGAACAGAAGCTGAAGTGCACATTGTCAAAGCAGTCATTTGTGCTCTGCATTTCTAAATATTTCAATTCATATTCAGACTTCCTTGAGATTTCCTTGAGATTCTTGAAATTCTTAAATTAGTTTTCCCTTCTGCCACGTGCTTTTCAAACCCAGCCATACGCCATATGGGTGCCTTCCGGACGCGAGAAGTTTTTATGATCCGGGTTAACGACATTCACAAAATGTGGGTCATTCTTGACGTCGATATAGTCTTGAGGATCTCGAAAAACAATAGTCACCAATGCGTCGTAAGGTGAATGGTTGACTACCGTAAGATTGGGGTAGAGTTTGGACAAATCTTTCATCAGGGCGGATGTGTTGTGTTGCTATCACAAGGGCTCAGTCCTTGCCATTGATTTGAAATCTCAAGTTGAGGGCCAACGAAATTTCCAAGACACGTACCATAGTATAGTCTACGATTCTTTTCAACCAGGAGTCTTTTGAGGAGAGGCGCATGGGTCTCGCTTATGTATCGGTGGTACTCGTCCTGGCCCATGCCGGGCTTGCGCGTGGCGCAGATTGTCACGCTGAGTAGTCGATGCGTTCTGGCCATTTTCTCTCTTCTTGGATTGTTTCAATTCTGAAAATAGAGAATAGAGGCTGTTAGTGGTGCATGGGAAGTGACGCAGTGTTCATATTCTCAGGCTCTGGCTTTAATAGTGATGCAAATGGGGACATCACGACTTTCACTGAAAGGTATTTCGTTGTAGGCCGCTGAGCGTGCAAGTTCGGCCGCCTCAAATTCCTTGGCATCTTTGGTCGTCTATTATTCTCCCAAAATTGTAGCCTAGTCCGTAATGTGACTGAAGGCTCGCGGTTCCGAGCGACCCGGCCATCTCCCCATTGCGGGCTCCGACGCCCGTTTGGCTGACGGAGAAAACCTGGCTCAATTCGGCTGCCGACGCGCGACGGGTTGGCGACGGGTTGGGCTGACCACTCACCTTACATGGATGTTGCCCCACATATCCCGTTTGGGCAACGTAACTTCACCTAGGGGTGACCCTAGCTAAGAGCACTGTATGCTAAAGCTCGAGGGAACACTTCTGAGAAACGTAATGAGTATTGACCCTGATCAAATACAGGAACAGAACAGGAAGTGAAGGCAAGTTTTACAGGTAACACCTCTCAGTGGTGTACTGAATTTGACTACTCTGATGGTATCCGTGGTGGTCGTACAAGTTCAACCCACAAAGCAATCCCAAGAGAGAACACCGGTATTCTCTACTTATCATTAGCTTTGGCAATGGCTAATTTCAAAGTCCTAATAATTGGTGGTGGTAAGTGAAAAAAGGGAGCATTCGGTTACCACGAACTACTTCACACTGACATCCTATACCAGGCAACTGTGGGCTCGCTATAGCTACCGGTCTGAAACAGGTGTGTTCATTTATTATCAAGCATAGCCTGCCGATTGTCTCTCAACTAGCTTAAGCTTATACCTGTTGGTGGCGCAGGCTGGTATAGAATACACAATCTTCGAGCGGGAAAACCAGTATAATTTCTATAAACGGCCTCGTGACTGGGGAATGCTACTGCACTGGGGCCAAGAGTACCTCGCGAAGTTGCTACCAGCACATCTCGTACCTCGACTGAGAGAGATACGTTGTGACCCAGACCTCACCGAAAACGAAGCGTCTATGCGCGGCGTACCATACGTAGATGCCTTCACCGGCGAGCTGATAGCTGAGATTCCTATGCAAGGCGTCAATCGTGTTTCTCGCATGAAGCTGTGACGTTTTCTGACATATGAGCAGAATTTGGACATCAAGGTAAAGTGCCCGCCCAGCTCTGAAACAGATAGAATTGATTTCTAACATGGTACCGATTGTGCACAGTTTGAAAAGACTCTTTCGCATTTAAGCATGGATTCACAAGGGTGAGTCACTGCAGATTTTCGTGATGGCACCCCGGAGACTGGTGACCTCGTTGCTGGATGTGACGGATCTCATTCCATAGTCCGTCAATTTCTCGTGGGGGCTGAGGATGCTGAGCTCCAGCCAGTCGACCTCACCATGATCAACTTTCCGCTTAGCAACTACACCGCCGATGAGGCTCGTCTACTCCAGACCCTCCACCCTGTTTTCAAGATAGCGGCCCACCCGGAACGTCCTGGAAATGCAATTCTTGCAGGTTGGTACTCGATTAGAAACCAAATTTATCCATCATGGGACATTCTGCCTAACATTGCTCAACTGCAACGCTTGATATCAAGGATTCCGACGACCCGACCTCATGGAAGTTTCAGAACTACATAGGCTGGTGGGGCCCGCCGCATGCTAAAGATCTGCAAGATATGAAGACGCACGTCAAGTACTACAAATCATTTGTTTCGTCGTTCTGCGAACCATTTCGTACAGCAGGACTCAAAATAGAAGACGATGGCAGCATTCCCATTTATCCAGGTCAGCAATGGTCTCCTGACATGCCATGGGACAGCCGCGGCGGATGTGTGACTCTCGCAGGGGATGCCGCTCACTCAATGGTACCTCGTAAGTTGACGTACCTCTCGGTCATAGGCGGAGTCCGGGACGTGGATTTCCTCGGCTTTTGTGGAAGAAAGACTGACTTGTCGCAGAACGTGGCCAGGGCCTCAATAACGCTATGAAAGACGCCGCAAATCTGGCCGACGCCATCAGGTCGACGCCATCATTGAAGCTCTGAGTACTCGGGAAAAGACATTGGAGGATGCCATTGATGCGTACGAGAGTGAAATGAAACCTCGAGGGGTACGAGAAGTGAATTTGTCGCTTGAGCAGGCTCGCAAGGCAAGCAATTCCAAAGCAATCAAGGACAGCCCGATGTTCAAGATCGGGTGGAGGCCAGGCGAGATTGAGAACGCAAGTAAACAGGGCGAAGTCTCCGCTCGCAGCTAGATATGCAACTGCCAACGAAATCTCAATCAGAAAGCTTACCAGCTCAATGCTCATTCTGATTTTATAGTCCCACAAGTTTGGGCATAATTCGAATCGAAGCCGTTTTCCGTGAGATAAGCTGTTCGAGAACTCAGGATGTTTTTTTGACTTGAGAAATTGGGTCTAAGTAGCTAAGAAACGCCAATTAGACTATTTCAAGGAATTTTTTGAGTGTTTGAAAGGCCTTATGAGTGACTGAGCGGTGTTTCCACATCAAGAAAGCAGTGCGGCCGATGTGCCAACATCATCATTGCGTTGGTTTACATTTGCAGTCACTTAAGGTCTCAGTCACTGGACTTTCTATCCTTACACAGTATCTATTGAAATTACTGCAGAGAGAAAAAATAACTCGGGCAGAACTGAAACGCCTCTCATACTCACGGATCCATCCGCTGAAAAGTTAGTGGCAGCTGAGCTGACATCTAATGGCCTAGGCCTTGTGTCTCGCAAGTTTTCTTTCTTATCGCCAGTAATTTTCCAGCTTTCTCAATTGGCCCTAAGTGAATTCGGCCTCACTTCCCAAATTACCTGAGCGTCGACGGCGAATGCATTTCGACAAAATGTAAACCCAAGTACTTTATCCAAACGTCACAAAATAGAGAGGATTGTGACTACTCATGCGTTTCTATCATATAGTTCAATCCTGTAGATACATACACAGTCATGGAACTTGCCGTCCGCTCAGATATCGCTCGGATTCCGGGTTCCACTTCCAACCACTCCGTTGGTTCGGACGCCGTCAGCGCCTGATCGAGTCTGTCCCCTGTTCGAAGCAACTACGTAGTATTCTGATTTTTTTATTTTCAGTCAATGTGACCACGAGAGGATTTACCTGATTCCCCAAGACGATTTATGTCTGACTGCAGTTAGCAGTTAGCACATCGCATGGTATAAGCATTGGAGAACGACGGGTGATCGCCCGGATAGACCATTGAGTTTGCGGACCCTCACAAACATATGATGATTTCCGCCACCAGGATTCTTGAAGCTTTCGCGAAACTTCACGAAAGGAATTTCATGGAATTGCGGGCGTCGATAGAAATTCAATTACTCGATAAAGAGCGCAGTGTCATATACACTGCAATCGGTCGTCCTTGAGACCCTGTCCTGTACCTTAAAGGGCCTATGCATGAGTCAATCTATACAGCTTCTAAGAAAGCGATGCGCGCGCTGAGGATGATTTTTCCAAGGGTGTTCCAGCAAGCCAAAGTTGCAAGTCTTCAAACCGTATCGAGATGGATGACGTGCAGTATCGTGCTGAGTCACGTCGATGATCCGAACCATATAACCATCCAATGTCGAAATCTGGTTTTTTTTAATCACGTCCTGGGGCCTTCTTACTCATGTTGAATGTTACACGCTGCCCCTAGCCATTGTCGCTCTGTTCCGTGGCGGCCAGCTTGACATCATGATGTCTCCCGGGCCGTCCAGCTCCTGGCTACAATCTAGTCGCAATCTCTTCTTTCTTTTCTCTTGCTCAGTCACACTTCTCAACGAATCTGGTTCAGGAAGATGCTCTGCGGGGCTCATGAAGCCGCCCACGCTGTCGAAATGCTGTGAGAAATCAAAGTCAAATAGAGAGTCTGTCACGGTGCTGATATTCATGCTGGACAGATCAAATGAGGGTGAAAACGGAAAAGAAAAAGTATTTGAGGCTTGGGGGCTCTCCCATGTGGTGCCCAAGCTCATGAATGCTTCCGCAGCACCTGCAGACGCGGAGGAACTGAGCCCGCCGTCCTGGGGCATGTCGGCGTGCGCGCTGAATTCAAACATATCTTGCCTCATCTCCGAGGGCGAGGAAGGCTGCCGAACTGGGAGGCCACTGCTCTCGCGAATGAAGTTCACAAGTGTCTGGACCACCCGGAGCAACTTGGAGCTGTAATTGTTCTGGGCCTCACTTGATACCCCCAGTGAAGACTCCAGGGTGCGAGAAAATTCGTGGAGTATGGCTAAGTCTTCGTTCCCATTTCCCAACAATTCATCCCGGTGTGACTGTGATATGGGGTCTGAGTCTGAAGGTGCAGAAACTTGCTGAGATGAGGCGACATTGGTCTGAATTCCGAGGATGTTTCGCGCGAGTATGAAGATGGCTGAAGTCGGTATGAGTTCTAAGATTCGCTGCCCACGCAAGACCTGCGTATTAGGAGAGGCTAACGAATCAGTCCCAAACGGCCAGAATCGCTTATTTGGTGCCTTCGAATTATTGAGGCTTCCTTCTCCCTCGGTTGGCAGTTCTCCGGCTGGTTCACTCGACTCCCGTGGTGACCGCCGCGGAAAAGGTGTATCATCTATTCGCCAGTTACGGAAGGCCATACGGTGAAGCAGTCTGTCCAGCTTGTTTGCGGCTGCTGCTTCTAGTCCCTTTTCATCGGAGCAGGCTGACATGACTAACAAGCAAGAAAGACGGGCGTCGTCCAAGACATTGTGCTCATCACCATCCGTTAAGTCGAGCTCGTATGCTCGGATCCGGGTTCCAAGATATGCCAAGTGAATGCTCAAGTCTTGAAACGTTTCTGGTCGTGTAAGAGATGGAAGTCGGTGCGTCTTGGCGAAGGTGATTAACTTTTGTCGGATGCCCGTTAACGCCATCTTCTGCTTTAGCATTCTTGTTTCTGGCGGGTTGCCTGGAAATATGGCGGCATGAAGCTCGTCCTGAATCATTGCTATGCTAAACAAAGGCTCATTGGTTTCGTCATAGCCTGTTGAAACGGATGGTGACCCGCCGCGTCCAGCCGTCAGAGTCGCACTTGACGAATCTTGGCTCATCGCACGCAAGGAAGACCCCGACTTTGTATCGGCAGATAGCGTGGAAGTCGACGAAGAGTTCCCGCGAGCGGTGGCGTAGCACCTTTCACGTATGTGAAGAGATCGGAAGAGCTTCCTTCGCTCGGCAATCTCATCCAATGAGAGGTCCAGGTCCATTTGAGCTGGCGCGATGGCATCGTGACAGTGAAGACCCATCATCGTAGCCATGTGGTAGGCTTGAGCAAAAAGCACATCACTGATACTCTCCGGATAATACGAAGGTGCGATAAGGCTCTGTGTTTTCGGCATGCCTTGTCAGTACTGGTGATAACAGGTTACAACCCGTTGCTGTCGATAGTGACAGGAAATCCGCCGGTTGGAGGGCGGGGAGGGGCAGGGGACGAGGATGGCTGAGAGGGCACTCACAAGCAATGCTAGGGTCTGAACTGCAATCAATCTGGCGCCATGAACAATTGCTGTTTGCCGATTGCAGAGTGAACAGCGTCGAAGAGGGGCTGTGTATGATCTGCAGCTCGCAGTGGCTGCTCAGCACCGAGAACGAAGAGGAAAATGAGATCAAGACACACAGCCCAAGCCTCGTGAAGGGGGTCTCTTGAGTCTGAGTAAACTTTATCCACTGCAGCGTCGAGTGACTTTCTGAGGAATATGTCTGTACAGAAGTCCACCTGGTTCACAAAATGTTCCACCATGACAGAAAGGAACACCTTGGGCAGCAGGCGTTCGCTGTTCTGGCCGTGTTGTGATTGTGGAGCTGGGAGGTCGGCTGGTGTAGTCTCAAGCGCACGTTGGAGCTTTTGTAACAAATTTGGCACAGCTGAGATGTTGGAAGAGGAGACATCGCGGCTGAAGTTTCTACACTCGTGGTCGAGTGTCCAAGGTCCGTAGTATCGCTCGTTCAAAGTGCCTTCCTCACGGATGACAAAACCTCCTGGGACGATCCGGCCACCAGAATCGTGGTCGAGCAAAGTCGGGCACGAAGCGCGTCTGTTGTGCTCGGGCCTGGCACCCACGTATGCATCTTTCGCTGGAAAGTTACGAGTCCTGTCGCTTTGGACGCCTCCAACATGGAAGTCAGGGCCGAGAGTTGGGCTTGCACCATGTTTAGGCGGTCGTTAACTTCGTCGAAGCTTTCGCATCTAGTGCAAAGGCAAGGAATCAGTGTTGGCCTGGAGAAGGAAGCTTCCCCTTGATCTTACTCACAAGACTTTGACGTGATTGACTCGCTTGGGTGGAGGCGTATAAACACATTCTACTTGAGCCTGCCGGCATATGTTGCACTCCGGCTTCTCCCGGCCGCACTTGATCTTTCGAACTCTGCAGTTGGATCATGGCCCGTCGTGGGACTGAAGGCTCCAGTTCTTTGCAAGGTCAGACTTGCCTTCTGTCTCTGGAGGATAAGGACACACCCGCTTACCTCTTTCTTGGCAGATGAGTCGGACATGATAGACTTGTATTGACGGGAATTAATTGTGCAGTACTGTTACGGCGTCCGGCCTGGAAAACTTTTGGCTGAGGTGGGTCGCAGATGCACGAGAGGAAGCGGTCAAACTTAAGACTTATCTATGAGCATGCAGCTTGCGAGTTTGCCTTTTCTTACAACCGCTATTAAACCTTCTGCATGCTTGCCAATGGTATGTATACCTTGACCAGGTCCGCGGGCATGGGCGTTAGGATGACCAGCATAGAAGCAAGCGCCCCTTGCAGTATATCTCTCTTTCGCTGTATAGTTCACGCGCGCGGCGCGAACTAGGGAGAGTAAAGCCGTCCACTTCCCGCATACAATGAGCCATGTGCTTTCGTTTGGAAAGAATGCTAGGATATTTAACCGTTAATGTCAGTGGAAAACAAAATTCGCGTAGATTCATGTCCAGAATCTGGGAGTTCACCTGAAATTTATCTCTGACAAGTAAACGGCTAGGTCGTGGTGCGTACCTGGCGCAAAGTGTTCCTGCACTCTCTACACTCTCACCCCGGCCCCAAATTATGGGCTGTTAGTCATCTAACCTGGTGTTGGTATCAGTGGAGGGGTCTACTGAATCATCGTCTTGCCGAATTGCACCAGGTCTATGGTCCGGTGGTACGCGTGGCTCCGGACGAGGTTTCTTATACGTCAGACACCGCTTGGAGAACCATTTATGGCCAAAGGAGTGTTGAAATAGCAAAAGATCCCGTCTTCTCACTGAGCAAACCCACTGGGGCACAGGGTGAGTGCATAGAAACACAATCCAACCGATTGGTCTGTTTTCTACCATTTTGCTTTTCTTGCTTACACCTCGGGCCCGATTATTGACCTTCTAACTGCTGATCGGGAGACTCACACGCGCCAACGACGCCTGATGTCGCACGCGTTTTCCGAGAAGGCACCCCGAGAGCAAGAACCAATCTTGAATCTCTACGCTTCAAGACTCTGCGAAGAATTACACTCTCATTCTCGTCTCGGCCCAGTCGATATGAAAGATTGGTACACTTTTGCCAGTAGGTGAACTACTTGGTGGCACCTTTGGCTTGAGCTACACCACAATTCAGGGGTGAATGTCATCTGCGAGCTGCAATGCTGACCAAACGTTGAAACAGCATTCGATCTCATAGGAGATCTTGCCTTTGGCCAGGATTTCGGGTGTGTAGCTAATGGAAAAGCAGCGCCTTTCGTTGCTGCCATTCCATTCGGCGCTCAGGAGCTTACCGTCAATCAAATGCTGAAATACTATGGGCTACTGTCATTTTCACGCTTTCTCAAAGTCATACGGAGTATAGTATCGACACGACCGCATGGAAGAAAACTTGGAGCTCGGGAACAAAATATGAGGCGAGCTGTAGAGGTTGTCCGAGCTCGCATATCGCGGGGTCCTACTGCAGACCGCAAAGACTTTTGGGCAACTTAGGATCCTCCCATACTTCCTGCAATCACCACCACTATCTGAATTAAACATCGGAATTCGATGGAGTAGCTGTGCATAACAGATGGTCTCCTCGAATGCTCGCGATGCCTGCATGAGTCACCAGATAATCACCCCACTCGTCTACTCATCGTGTCCGAGGCAAGTAAACCTTCGCTGACAAAAGTAATAGCATTACGTACTCCAGTACCTCAAGGATGAAAACGCGTCAGCAGATGACTCCGAAAGCTCGAAAAGAGGAATTTCGGAACCTGAGATGTTCGCAAATTCTTCTTCGATCACCATTGCTGGATCCGAAGGAACTGCAACGGCCTTGGCTGGGGCAACATTCCTACTGTTGAGACACCCGCGTGAATACCAGCGGGCCGTAAAGGAGGTTCGAAGAGAGTTTATCAGCGAGGCCGACATAACTAGCAGCAGGGTACTCGCTAAAGTACCGTTCATTGAGGCTGTTCTTCAAGAGGCCATGAGGATCTACCCACCGGTGTCTATCACTATGCCAAGAAGGGTTCCTGAAGGTGGTGCGACTATCGACGGGCGCTATGTTACTGCTGGAACTACGGTCGGTGTCAACCACCTGTCTTGTTACAGATCATCTTTCAACTTCGAAGATGCGATGAGCTTCCGGCCCGAGCGGTGGCTTCGCGCGAGCGGGAAAGACACAAGCCCTGGTGACAACTTCGCAGCCTTTCAGCCTTTTTCATTCGGCCCACGAAGCTGCCTGGGCAAGAATCTGGCAAGAGCTGAGATGAGCTTACTACTGGCCCGCGTTCTGTGGCGGTTCGATCTAGAGCTCGTAGAGACAGAAGAGGGGCTGTCGTGGTTGGACAGGCAAAGGATCTGGGGCTTTTGGCAAAAGCCACGTCTTCTCTGTAGACTAACGCCGGCCAAAAGGGAGTTGTCTATGGATGGGATTTGAGAAAGACCTTCACATATAGGGAATGGAATTTCTAGTTGCATATGACGTGGTCCCCATTGCACCTTTCCCAATAAGCATGCCCTTAAACTCCGATCCGTGTTATACGTCATGTTAGTGTATGAATGAAACAGCAACAGTTTGAGTGGGACGAAAATGAACACCTAGAAGATTCAGCATCCAAGACACATGCCCAAAGACGAAGCAGGAAAACTTTTGAAGCTGTGATGATAAATTTCGTCTAAATTCTATATTTCTATCTATGCCCACTTGCTATTACCATTGACACTTGGCCAGCCCTGCGACTCAAGACGCTGTACATTCTCCACTGGCACTGGAATCGTGGCAAGGCGTTTCAGGGCCTCTGCATTTATCTCAGGCGTCAAAACTTTACCCCCCCCCCCCCGATCATGTTCTCCAACAGCTCAAAGTAGCGGATAAAGAACCCTGGAGTGGCTGTGTTGATGAAAACCGCCTCCTCGTCGAATGGGTTACTGAATTTGTGCGGCAGGCGTACAGGCACAGTCAAAGCCTCACCGGCACAAACGTCTACAGTCGGTCTGCCCGGAACGTGGAAGCGCACTTTTCCCTTCTTGATCGCAAAGTTCATTGTCAGTATAATATTGCAATCGCCGTTGGGGCCACACCTGACTGGTGGGAGCCATGACCTGGGACAATCTTACTGACCGTGACAAAGAAGCCTTCGTCGTGTGTTACAGCACGCTATATAGGTGATAGCCATGGTAATGCTCTCGGCATTACAACGTCCCTCTTTTGGGTGTCTAGCGCAATAGGCTTTCTTGTGCCGTGACATCGTGCATCTCGTGGAAATGGACGATTGGACCGTCGCTCCTGGGTGGAATTAAGCTTTCAATCACCGCCAGACGGTACTGCGTGTTGGTCCCATCCTCAATCGGCCTCCAGAAATCTGATGTTTGGGTGAACATGTAAGTGGCAAATCCCAAAACTCGGAGAACAATTAGCGCTGAGCACATGGGTGTCACGTTACTCACATTGTCCCAATCTACGCCACGGAACATCTTCGGGTTTGAAGTGGTTCACATCGAGTGTTGCAGCATAAGCCTCATGTTTTGCGTCCATAACGTAAAAGATATGAGAGTTTTGGAAATTGGAGTTTCTGTGGCATGCAAGAGCCAGTTGTGTGTGATATCACGAGCCTCTTTCACTTTGTGGCATCATCAATTACGTACGTACCCACGTCACCAACACATTGCCTTGTAGACGCAGGCCTATGGTTATTTGCGTCCGTGACATCCGCCTGCATTGTACAGACGGACTACGACAGGGCTTACCATGGTATTCGGACGGCTTTCGCCGAGGGGCACTCAGGACGTCGGCAAGCGGAGGCCGGGACTGGCGGCTTTTGTCACGTTAAAGTTCGAGCAACCGGAAAGTGGAGGGGAACCCGCGCCACACATGCTTTTCCCCATGGGACGATTACAAACTTTCCAAACTTTATGCAAGTATGCAGGATGAATTTATAATACAGGACGGATTTGTAATTTGCCTGAGATTGTCAGGAAACATCGCAAACGTCTTGGTGCACTGCATCAGAGTCCCCAGGAGCCAGTCTCTTCCACTATCAAGAGCCGGAAAAAAGATGACAAAGAGATGTATCGCAACACGCAAGGGGGGCGAGTTAACCGTAATTGACGTATCGCCCCCGACGCCAAAAGCAGGCGAAGTCAGCATTCGCAACAAAGCAGTGGCTTTGAACCCGGTGGACTGGAAGAAGCTTGAATATGGGATAATGACCGACAGCTGGCCGGCCGTTTTTGGCTCGGATGTCGCCGGCGTCGTCGAGAGCGTCGGTGAGGGCGTCAGTGCTTTCAAGCCAGGAGACGAAGTCTTCAGCCTAGCTGGCCACGACAACCGGGCAGGGGGATTCCAGGAGATTTCAACTGTGCCTGAGCACTTTGTGGCGCACAAGCCGCCCTCTTGGACTTTTGAGGAAGCGGCTTCCGTCCCGTAAGTAACCATTTTACACGAGGACAGCGACGTGTCTTCTCCAGGCTAACCACGCATTACTGTTTCTTTCTGCCAGAATCTGCTACTTGACCGCCGCGGCAGCGGTCACCCTCGGCTTGAAGGTTACACTGCCTTTTCTCCAAGAGAACGCGCGCACTTCACAAGAAAGTCTCCGCAGTGTCCTCGTTATCGGTGGTGGTTCTGGTGTCGGCGCCTCCGCCATCCAGCTTCTTCGAATCGCTGCGCCGTCTTTGGAGATCGTGGTGACAGCATCGCCAAGTCATCACGCGCCGCTCATTTCTCTCGGAGCAACGACCTGTGTAGATCGTGCTACTCCTGACATTGTCGGTGCGATTAAGGCGGCTTCTGCTGATGGCCTGGGAGTTGATGCTATCTTGGATGCAGTTTTGGGAGCCGGTACCGAGAACCAGCCGTGTCTGTTTGATACCTTGCGCGCTGATGGTCCAAAGCTGTATAGTGCTGTTGTCACAGACACTCAGCTTAGCATCCCGGCGGGAGTGGAGGCCGTGAAATCTTCTGGGCGTCAGACTTTCGGCGTTGCGGGAGGCATGTCAGCTATGTCGGTCCTGGCGAAGCTGGGGCGGGACGGAGATTTCAAACCCCCGCTGAAGATAGAGGTAGTCGGGAAAGGCCTCGAGAGCATTGGGGATGGGCTTGAGAAGTTGAAATCGGGGGTGAGTAGGACTAAGCTTATCGTCACATTGTAAAGTCAATTCAAGTTCAATCATATCATGTCGTAATTGCAATTTTCCTCGTAAGACCTGTAGACTGGTAGCATTTGAGCGCTCTAATATTGTACTAGACTCATTGTTGGTCAGAAATCAGCTACGTGTGCCCATGATTAGTTCGCGCACCTTGATTGATCCCCGAAGCGATTCCGGCTGAGATCCAAGGTCCGCGTACTTGCTGTTTTGATTATGTGCTCTGGAACTTCTCAAGACCTTTCAATCCGTGTCTTTTTCCCGAGACATTCTCAACAACAGAGTTCCGATTACTTTGTCTGCCCGAAAGGGTCTAACTTAGAGGCACCTTTTTCTGGCCAAGCATTTCCCGAAACAGCTCAGTGCGTTCCCCGGCGCCCGCGGAACTCGGCTGCCGGACAATTGTTCTACAGTCGGGAGTCGACACTCGCCATTCAGAAAGCTATGCTGTTGCAAGCTGCGAGTCATCGCCATGAATCCAAACACTGCTCAAATGGACATAGATCTGCAAGACCCAATGCCTCCAAGTCTAGGTAAAGTTGACGCTCAACTGATTCAACACTGGAACTGTGGCAGAAATTCCTTAAGCCACAAAGAAATACCAACAATCCTTGCCATAATGGTCCTATTACCTCGTCTGCAGCTATTTGAGATTGAAGACTTGAGTTGGTGCCCAGCATGGCTGCGCGAGTATTCACACAAATCACTCCACCACATGTGGAACACGGTTGGGCCTCGCCGAAAATCGTCGACCGCAGCCCAGGCCTGCGACGTATTGGTATCGAAGCTGCTACTGGGCCCCGGGGACTATACATTCATCGATTGCTGTGCAGGTGCTGGTGGGCCAACTCCCATCCTGGAAAGAGTCCTCAACCACAGGTTGAGTATACTTGACAGAGCACCCGCCAAGTTCGTGCTGGCGGATCTATACCCTGACTGGAAGGCCTGGGCCAGGATCACACAACAAAGCAAACACATTAGCTTTATCGACAAGCCAGTTGACGCGACCACCGTTGGAAGATATATCGACGAGGATACGCCGGAATGTCGGCTCTATAACCTGTGCTTTCATCATTTTGGCGATGACACCGCATCAAAGGTTCCAAGAAGCTCAATAGAAGGATGCGAAGCTTTTGTGTAAGTCGCACCGTCAGAAATTGAGGGTCGTACTTGCCAACACCGACCCTTCCAAGCCCAGAAGAGCCATCGTCAACAACTTTGGCGCCGCGGGCGGCAACACGGGAATTCTGCTGGAAGACGCGCCGGTAAGACCTGAGTGCACTAAAGTCGACCCAAGAGGCGTTCATCTCGTTTCTGTGTCGGCCAAGAGTGGCAACTCTGTTCAAGGCAACCTCAGGAACTTGCTCAGATGTCTGAAGCAGAATCCGCATGTCGATTTGGGGCAGTTATCGTACACAACCACGGCCCGTCGAATGCATCATCAGCACCGCGTCATGCTATCTGGCTCGCGTGTCGAAGAGCTTTGTACGCAGATTGAGACGGCCCTTCAGAATAACGCAGCTGCGACGAGGCCTAAGCGTGGCCCGAAGTTCCTCTTCACTTTCACTGGTCAGGGTGCACAGTTTCCCGGCATGTGCAAGGAGCTTCTGACCAATATTGGCTTCTTCCGCAAGGAGGTGCATCAGCTGGATCAAATCTGCCAAAGCTTAGGCTTCCCTTCGATTCTACCGGTTATCGAAGCTGATACGGAGCAAGATATCAACACATTCACACCTGTCACTGTGCAGCTGGCAAACACCTGCCTTCAGATCGCATTAGGAAAGCTGTGGGCATCGTGGAACATTACCCCTGCTGCCATTGTGGGCCACAGTCTCGGCGAGTACGCTGCCCTCAACTACATACGCCGGCGTGCTTTCGGATGCCGATACCATCTACCTCGTGGGCAAACGAGCCGAGCTCCTTCAGAAAAAGTGCACGCCAGGTACACATGCTATGCTTGTCGTTAGGGGCTCGGTCGAGGAGATTACGGCCGCTCTGGGAGATGCTAGGCACACCATCGAGTTTGCTTGCATAAACTCGCCCGTTGAGACCGTTCTCGCCGGGACCAAGGAGGCTATCTCTGAGGTGGCGACCATTCTCACCTTCACCGGAGCAAAGACGACTCCCCTGCACGTCCCGTACGCCTTCCACTCGAGTCAACTAGACCCCATGCTTCCGGATCTGATGGAAGTCGCCCGGAGCGTCACCTTCTGCAAGCCCACCCTGCCTGTGCTGTGCCCGTTGGATGGCAGTATTGTTGAAGGTGATGGGACTTTCGGCCCCGAATACTTAGTCCGCCACTCTCGCCAGGCCGTCAACATGATGGAGGCGCTCATGGCAGCACGCAGCGGAAAGATCGTCAACGACACCACCATGACGCTCGAGATTGGTCCCCACCCAGCCATAGGCGGCATGGTACGCGCTGTCCTCGGCTCACACGTACCCACGCTTGCATCGTCGCAGCATGGCAGATCGGCTTGGTCAGTCCTCGACAACACAATCAAACAAATGTACACCGCGGGTGCCGACCTCCGCTGGATGGCGCACCATGATGACTTCGAGGCATCGCACAACGTCTTGACCTTGCCAACTTATAGCTGGGACTTGAAGGACTACTGGATCGAGTACGTCAACGACTGGTCCTGCGCAAGGGCGACCCTCCCCTTGTGATCCACGACGGCTGTATCCCAACAATTGAGACCACGACGATCCACAGGCTAGTCGAAGAGACAGAGAACGCTGGTGGACTTCGTCTGGTTGTCGAGTCCGACATCACCCGGCCTGACCTGCGCCCGCTTGTGCAGGGACACGAAGTAGACGGAGTTCCTCTGTGCACGCCCTCGGTATACGCGGGTATTGCGCTGAGTCTAGGCACATACTTGGCCCGGCGATACCGCCCTGGTCAGGCAAAGGACACCGTAGATGTGACAGACATGACGATACTCAAAATGCTGATACTGCAGCCCGATGCAAAAGAACAGCTCATGCAGGCCCATGCCGACGTGGAGTGGTCATCTGAATCGGCTGTTATCAAATTCATGTCCTTGGATGTAGGTTTCTGCCTTGTATGTCTGTCTCGGCTGGCGACACAAACTACCTCACTGTGACAACAGAAGAAGCAGAATTTGCAGGAACATGCCTGGTGCAGAATCGTCTTCAAGGATGGGTCTCTGCAACAGAGGGCCCAGAAGAACGTCCCTGAACTGAAGAAAAAGTTCCAGCATCTCCGAGACGGTGTCATTTCCGGGGCCGTCTCCCTCTACACCGGCGCCATGTGCTATCGTGCCATCCGGCCGCTGGCACGCTTCCACCCGGATTACCGGGCGGCCGGCGAGGTGCTCCTCGACAGCAACACCCTGGAGGCGGTCAGCCGTCTAAGCTTCTCCACGGTGAAGAGGGACGGCAACTTCCACACCCACCCAGGCGTGATTGATGCCCTGACCCAGTCGTGCGGTTTCATCATGAACTGCAATGAATTCGCGGACCCCGATCTGGAAGGTGATGTGTTCATGAATCACGGGTGGAGCTCGCTCCAGCTGTTTGAGCCCCTCAGCCTTGATTAGGAGTGCACGAATTATACGCAGGTGAAAGACTCTGGGGACAGTCTGTGGCACGGTGGTGTTGTGGTCCTAAACAGCAAAGACAAAGTTGTTGCCCATATTGGGTATGTTGCGGTTCGTCTTGGAATTCTTTTCTTTCTTCCACGAAGTCCAAGTGCTCTGATCTCACTAACCTATGATCCCAGATCCAACAAGTTGCTCGGAAAATTTTGAAAGTCATCTTGTCCATCGAAAGTGGTACCGCGTCCAAGGCTCAGAAGCAACTACCCAAACAGCTTCATCCTCCAACCCCGGCTCCAACACCTACCTCTTCCTCAGACAAAGGCTGCACCCAAGGGACCTGCTGCCAATCGTACTCATGTCCCACCTCCAATTCAACCGCCCAAGGAGATTCATGTGGTCACTAACGAGGCCAGATCTGGTGTATTCGCCAAGGCCTTGACAATTGTGGCCGAAGAGAGCGGTATCGCCGAGGCCGACTTGACAGACAGCACAAACTTCGCCGACGCCGGCGTTGACTCTCTGCTCTCGCTCGTCATTGTTAGCCGGTTCAGGGATGAGCTGGAGCTGGACATCCAGCACGAGTCCCTGCTTATCGAGTGTCCCACCGAGGGCGAGCTGAGGACAGCGCTTGTGGGAGACGATCCTCCCGAAGAAATGAGTCGACCAGTCGCGACTCTCAAGAAAGAAGAGAAACCAAACGCAAATAGCGTGTCTCTGCAGCAGCACATATACACGCCGGCGGAAGTCTCCGCCCTGGCAGCCCGGGAGGAAGCCGTTGACAGGCTCGTCGCCAAGTACACGGACGGATACTCGGGACCGGTAGCTCCTCCTGCAGCAGCGTCCGCGCCGAAGGAAGATGAGAAGGTCGTTATCATCACGGGCGCTTCGGGAAGCTTAGGATCGCACTTGGCCTGGCAAATCGTACAGATGCCCGACGTAAAGACGGTTATTTGTGTGAACCGCCAGCACCGAGAGGAGCCCTTTAAGCGTCAGATCAAGGCTATGCGGGACAAAGGGATCCGCTCCCCCGAGGCCCTGAAGCACAAGCTCGTCGTATTCCAGACCGACACCTCGAAGCCCATGCTGGGGCTCGGACCAGATGATTATGAACGGCTCGTGAGCACGGCTACCCATGTCATCCACAGCGCCTGGCCCATGAGCGGCAAGCGCGCCCTGGAAGGTTTCGAGCCACAGTTCCAAGTCATGAGGAGCCTCATCGACCTGGCCTGCAACGTCTCCTCCCAGCGCCCAGCGTCCTTCAAGTTCAGCTTCCAGATGGTCTCGTCCATCGGCGTCGTCGGCCTCTGCGGCAAGCGGGACAGCGACGCCATGGCGAAGCAGGTCCTCGTGCCCGAGGAGCGGTTCGGCATCGACTGCATCCTCCCCAACGGCTACGGCGATGCCAAGTGGGGCAGCGAGCGCATGCTCGACGAGACGCTGCACAGGCGGCCCGACCGGTTCCGCGCCATGGCCGTCCGCCTGGGCCAGATCGCGGGCTCCAAGACGAGCGGCTACTGGAACCCCATGGAGCACTTCGGCTTCGTCGTCAAGTCGTCGCAGACGCTGGGCGCCCTGCCCGACGTGCCCGGCGGCGAGCTGTACTGGACCCCCGTCAACGACATGGCCGACACCCTCGCCGACCTGGTGCTCTCGGACCATGAGCCCCACCGCTTCTATCATCTCGAGAACCCCTGGGGCCAGCCGTGGAAGGAGGTGAACGCGATCCTGGCTGATGCTGTGGGCATTAAAGACATCGTTCCCTTTGACGAGTGGGTCAAGCGTGTGGCGGCCGCTCCCCAGTGAAACAATCCAGCCTCCACTCTCTTGGAGTTTCTCGACGATAACTATATACGCATGTCCTACGGAGGGCTTGTCCTGGACCCCAAAAACAGTCTGGAGCACTTCAAGTCGCTGAGAGCTGTGAAGCCAGTTAGTGAGGAATTGGTTCGGAAATACGTGCATATTTGGAAAGAGATTGGTTTCTTGAGCTGAGTTGGAATTCCTACGCGTCTGAGATTACACATGATCGAAGTTCTCTTTGTTTTTGTTTTGTTTTCGTTTTATGTAATTTTGGTTCATTCTCTTCCTTTGACACTTTTGACAGTGTACAATTTCTCGATGGAATTTCCTACAGTATTTACTGGGCTTTCGCTGCTGAATCCAAAAGCGAGCACAATCGAGCCTTGTCAGCCCAATCATGCTGAACTGTCCTATTAAGGACTGACACTTACACCACGCAGGCTAGCAACTCTAAATGCGAAAAAGGCACAAGTTCCTGCTTATATCAAATTAGCAACCAGTCTAGTCTCCAGTAAATTCCCGAGTAGGAGGTGAGCTTGGAATGTTACTTGGTGTAAGTCACATGAATCCACTTGTGGGAATCTATAGGCACATCTAATGGCGAAGTACATGCGCGAACTGTCACGCGGCAATTATGGGTGTGAAACACCCGTTCTACCTGTTGTGGGAAGCTGGGCCATCCGTGATAATTACATCCCCGGACATTGGCTGCGAGGTCCAACAGATCAAAGAGGTGTGTCGCGAAGCAGGCTTAGCCTCTCAGCTATCTATGCGAAGGATGGCATCCACGACGACCCAACCGGTCCAGGCTTGCCCCGCTTACGATGTAATACGCAGCAGACGCAAGATGAAGTCTGGGAACGCATGGGATGGGGGAGTCTAATCCGAGGTTGCCAACACCAACAGCTTGAGCCATTCATGCGCTAGCACGGTCTGCCATCGGACGAACAAGCCCCATGCTACTGTATAAGTGCCCTGGTCTCGACTGTAAGATCCACACAAAGCATGGGTGGCGATGCACGCGTACGCCTCTTGAATGTTTGTCTTATATTGCTCGAACACCCTCGACGTGGGCTTGGCGATATGCAGCAGGTTTAATTATGGACACCGAAAACGCTCTAAACACATGATTGTCCGCAGGTGCGACCCAAATTAAGTCTCCCGAGCAGCCAAGGTTTCTCGTTGGCCTGTAACGCTCCATGCCGACCGGGCTTTGTAAGAAAAAGAAAAGTCGCGAGGCACGCTGTTGTTACTGCTTTAAAATCATTCCCGGCCGCCGCTTTGCGTTCGGGCTGCTCACGACCTCAGGCACGGGTGCTGCTCCAGCGGTGGGGGCAGCTCCGCGCGACCGGCGAGCAGTGGGTTCCTGGTCGGCGACGAGGAGCGCGAGACGGCTGCCGCAGGCAGTTCGGGGAGGGGTGAAGACGTAGACCTCCGGAGACTCGCCACCGAGCTATGCCGTGAGATGCCTGCCTCGAAGTCCTTCCAGTCGTACCTCGGCAAGTCGCCCGCGATGCTGCTCTCCGGCCTGTCGGCTGTGCTCATGGTGGCGAACGACGCTGTCCGGCCCGACCTGCTCGCCAGTGACTTCCTTATCATTGCTGTCCGTGTGGACTCGGCCTCCATTTCTAGGTCCTCCGCGGTCATCTTCCGCTTTTTGGTGGGCTTTTCCCAGGCGAAGCCGGAGTCTCGACGGCGGGACTCATCGAGTTGCTGCTTGAGGAGGCGTCGTTTTGAGTATGAAATGACAACCAATGCGGTGCAGGCTCCAAGCGTTAAGAGGGCAGCTACGGCTGCTAGTATTACCCATGTCCGGGTCGAGTCTGTGGCGGATGTGCTTGCGCTTGAGTCTGTATTTGAATCTGGTTGCGAGTCCCGTGGTGTGAGGGTGAGAAGGACTGAAGGCATTGTTGCGGTCTCAGCTCAGCTTGCAGGGTCGTCGGGAGTCTGCTGTGTGTGTCCGTATGTGTGCTTTTGTGTGTGTGCACACACGAGATCTCGAGGTGAGATATGATGACTGACTGAGTGACGGACGGAAGTTGGGGTGCAGCCGTCAATGACCAGATCAAGCCTCGAGGTTGCACTGCACGGCACGCGGGGAAGGGAGGGGAGCAAGGCATGCTTATGTATAACGGTGGTCGCATGCAGCCTGTATGTGCGTGTAGAGAGAGAGTGTGTGTGTGCCTCACCTCAACTCACCTCACCCCATCCCAGACCACCGTGTTGGGTCGGCCCATTGCCATCACGAAGGAGCGGCGCGGGCGGCCCTGCATGTGCATAAGGCAGTCCTCGTATACGCCGAAGAAGAGAAGTACAGAAGGTGCTAAAATTGGCCTGCTTTCGGGTCGCTACTACGGTAGTGCCTTGGCTGCCGGGCTAGGGACTGGTGGCCCGCCCTCGCCCCTCTGGGTAGTTCTGCAGCCCCCAGGCCAATCAGGTCTCCGGGCCCGCCCCAGACAGCGTCGCCCGATCCTGTTCGCTGCAGACCGCATCCTGCAGGTGTCAAGAGGTGCCAACCCTGCAAAGGCGTGTGCACGCGACGGTGGACGAGGAGGAAGAAGCAGAGGAGCAGGCGAGATTACACTGCGATGGTTTCGGTGTCGAAGGGATGCCGTGTGGGGGCTATCAGAGCTGCAGCCCTAACAGTCTCGCCGTGTTCCAGAGTGCGTTGCTGTTACTCGCTCAGCTGACGAAGGAGCAGGCCACACAACAACTCTCTGTCTTTCCACCCACCCTCGCGGTTTCCCCGCGGAGCATTCGAGACACAATAGTGCCTACCTAGCTCAGCCAGCAGCCAACCAGTTGCAGACTGACCGGTCGCTGTCGAAGGAGCCACGAGGCGAAGCAGTTAATATTTTATGTCTTATCGCTTGTCCAATGTTACCTCGATAGCCACAGCCTGCATCAACAAAGTCTGCCTCGGACATGACCCTCGCCCATTGACGTCGCTCGCAATTGCCGCGGCCTCGATAATTGTCCCCCAACCTCGGCCGCCCGTCTCGCAGCCGACCGCAGCTCTGCATTTGCTGGCCGGCAGACCTCTGCCTGAAACAAAATAAGGCCTCCCGCGAGTTTCTGGCTTTGGCTGCCGTCTATGATCTACGTCAGACGGGGCGAGGCCTTCGGACCGGGCAGTTCAGACCCAAGCCTCCATAGAGGCCGTCCGTCTATGCTGCTGACTGAATGAAGGGCCGGGCCACTTGCACAGCACTGCAGACCATGTAGCATCCAGCATATCTCCTGCTGCCTACCAACCTGCATGCTCGCCCCCGCGGCGCATCGCCTCTTTGCCGCTATTGGGGTCACTTAAGATTAACTTTTGGTCTGCAGACGACCAGTCGGTAGAGGATTGCCGAGAGCAATCCTCTGTTCTAGGCGGCTGCGGATCCTAGGCGCAATTTTGCTTGAGTTTTCGGGGGGGGGGGGGGGAGGGGGCACCTTTTCGGCAAAAATTCTTAGGATTTCAAAGTGGACCATTTCCACTTACACTGCTATCCAAACTGCTCAGGCACAACTGACTCCACACGAGCCGCGAACAAGCCCTGTCTACCCCTGGATATGTGGGGACGTTTCGATGGAACCCACTCCCGTTCCAACGTCTTCTCAAAATAGGCGCGCCCTACGAGGCGAAGACCGACCAACAGGTAGGCTTAGTTTCTGGTCGGGCGCTTCCACAAATGTGCCTGGATTAATCTCGTCACACGTGCTTGGTACTATGAATGCTGTCCTTGAATTCGTACGGCAGCTGGCCTTGGAAATCTTTCACAATTCTTGGCCCCGCCGTACTTGCCTAGCCTAGTGTTCAGAACAGCTTCCAGAAGACGAGGGTCAGTCAATCCAAGGTTTGGTCAAATTACTGTCATTGACAACTTAAAAATATATATTATGACAATTATTAGTACAACATTAAACCAGCCTCTGGTCAGGATTGTAGTAGCAACACTTAAATGAAAGGAGACTTCTCGAGCTAGGTCTGCTCAACTTGGGTTTTCTTCACACTTTTCATTTGCGTTTCATTTAAGGGTGCATAAATAATAAAATGTCGAATGGCGCCAGCTTATATGTCATTTTTGAAAATGCACTTTTCTCATTGAATGGCAAAGTTTTCATATCCAAAGTCCCAGAAGACGAGAAGTCACAGCTTCTTGCCATCACTCAATCAGAAACCTAGTCGCCGAATCCACAACACCGCGCAACGAGAAACCATCATGATTGTGAAAAAAGAGGCAGACAAGTCACCCGTTACTCGACGACATCGTGGCAGACAGCCTCGATATTATTGCCAGCGGGGTCCTGCGACAAATCCCAGGTCAGCGAAAGGCATAGCCAGAATGTGCATCAAAACATTTAAGACAGCAATCCAGGATCATAAAGGCTGCTGGATGAGAAGTCAAAACCACTTACAAGCACGAAAGCCCCATAATGAGCGTGATAGTGGGGCCGAAGGCCAGGCTTGCCGTTGTCTTTGGCCCCGGCTGCTATGGCTGCATCATACCACGCGTCGACAGATGCCCGATCTGTTTGTCCATGTCGTACCCTCAGCAAAATCCCCCATTCTCCGCACAACATCCCCATGGGCAGCAACTACTGACCTTTGCAGCGGAACGCGTGGTGGGATTTGCCGGGTGTCGTTGGCGAGGCCATGACCCACCAGTCGGTCTTGTTTGGGCTGTCCAGCCTGGTCAGCGAACTCGGTCCAAAAAAAAAAAAAAAAAAAAAAAAAAATTCGTAGAAGCTAGTGCTGAGCGTCAAGAAATATTTCTTGTGGACATTTCAATACAACTTACGAATGCGCCAGTTCACCGTCGCCAAAACCGACGGCTTCCTCGTTGGGGCCAAAGGCCATGAGCTTCTTGTAACCCAGGGGCTTGAGCGCCGCCTCGTAGAACGCGACGACGGCCTTGTGGTCCGCTGCCGCGACGGACAACTGCGTGTGGTCGATCATTTTGGGTTTGGATATTGATTACTGATGGGTGTTAGAGACGGGTCTGTGAAGATTGATATTCTCCAGAATGCGTTGAGCCCCTGGATGGGAGGAGAGTAAGCATCTATTTATCTTCAGGTGTAAGACCTAAGGAGCGGCGGCGCTCCTCTTCCCACCGGCTCAATGTCTCACACCAACGATGCTTCCGGACAAAGCGTCGAGAATCAAACCCTCACCCAGCCTCAGCTTCGATCTGCCGGCTGATGCCAAGACTCCCCCCCGGCTGCCTGGCTGCCTGGATGGCTGCCTGCCTCCGTGCTCCTCCACCACTTTGACGGTCCGTGGTTGTGCCGTTATTTGTTAGGACGCCCAATGGCAGATCCCCGCGCTGCGGTCCGGTTCGGTCTGCCGCTAATGTCCGGGACGCCCGGCGCTGCGCTAGCTCGGGAGCGTGTTGAGCCGACTTCATGCTCGCACGCGCATGGTCTGCTAGTTAGTGCCTTGGTGCCTGTACCCCGAGCCATGTTGGCTTCATGTGTTTCTTGTGAACTCTACACTGCCGCTCACAAATAGCAACGTGCTTCATCATGGCACCCGGCACTCCAAGATATTGGTGATTGGCATCAACCGGGTCAGTTGGCATTCCACGTTCGGCGAATTCCTTTTGAAATTGAGAGAACATGCCCATACAACCAAGCACAAATACTGATTTACTACATAGGTAGCCACTTGTGAAGTTGTGGAATCAACATCATGTCCGGGATGTTAATTGTACAACCATCTAGTTACATCCTCTGGTAGTACACTCCCACTTGTTTCTGAATTGGGAGGCCCGTCATTTTAGTCCTCAGTTCTGAGTACTGTTGCCTGATCTTGAAAACGACTGCTAATTCGGGTATCTAAAGCTCCAGTATGCTAGTTATTAAGAATATGATAAAAATGTCTCACTGTGGAAAATCACCGCTTGTAATGCTCCTTATTCTAAGGCTTCTAAGCATGCGTATTAGATCCTGCCCCCTCGACCTCGGGAGTCTGGTCCTTCTCCCGGGCCGCGGAGCTCTCGCCCTTCTTTTGCGAGTTCCCGAACTTGTCAAGGCTCAGCCTCGGGAGGGTAAGGCTTTCCCTCCACCCGCCGTCGCCGTTGACCTTCTCCTCACTCGACGACCTTGCGGCCTTCTCTATCTCTTTCTTCTTCTTCTTCTGCACCTCGTGCATGGCCTCCTCGGTCATCTCCTGTCTTGTCATCCGCTCGATGACGTCCTTCTTCCGCGTCCGCCGGTCGCCTATCCAGATGAGCAGGCCCGCTGTCGCGTTGACCGTGATGGAGCAGCACAGGATGACTGTCGTCAGCGCGAACGGGCGCTTCCTGTAATCGATGCCCCAGGTGCAGGCTCCTAGTGAGATCTGCAGGCAGCTGTGGAGGTCGAGGAGTGCCGTAATGGTGATCATGAGGTCGAGTGGGAATGCGAAGTGGGTTTCTGTCTCGTGTGGTTTATAGAATGTGTGCGACTTGGCGTACTTGGTCTGGTGGTGAACTAGCGTCTCCTGTTGTTTTGGCGAGAGAACTGCGAAATCGTCGCCAGGCTCCATATCCGGTAGATCATTGTTTGCGGCCGCTGCTTCGACGTCCGGGATCACCGGCTCGGTAGGCAAGTCATTGGGGTCGCGGAGCTTCGGAAGCAGCAGCTTCTTTCGTAGTTTCAAGCTCATACGGTCTGTATGATGTCAGTCGAGCTGAAATTGGTGAGGGTTTAGTGCAGCGAATACTTACGGTAATGTGCGATGTAAATCATGTGATAGGTATCGACCGCACGGAACGGGGCGAGTCCATCGCCCATGATCGCAAAGAGGGCGACAAGGATGTAGTCAATAATGTTGATCACGTAGAGCTGTTTGGATCCAATTGAAATCCATCCGATGAGGAAGAGCACCCATGCAAGCCCAAATAGGGTGATGAGTGTGGCGTAGAGCGTGACGAAAAAGCCGAGAGGCCGACTGACGTATCTACCAAAGCCCTTGAGGCCACGTTTGAACTTGGACCGCCGTGAATGCAGCATGTGTCTGACATGATCGTTCAGCATCTCAACTTCATCCTGGCTCCATCCCTCCAAGGACTCTCCATGTGGGAGGACAGCATAGTGGGTGTCGTCGAGGTTGGAGGAGATACTGTAAGCGCGACCCGACTCGGAGCGTTGGTCCGCTTGGTCTGCTTGGACAGCAGCCGTCTGCTGTTCCGAGAGGTCCTCTCGTGATTTCCCGCCGGCGGGGCCACGCATCCCAGAGACATCGTAGGTTGGCCGTCTGTTGACCCATCGCCCCAGCGAGGGGATAAACAGCGAGTTCTGGACGTTGGTGATGGAAGTCAATGTGGACACCTCGGGGTCGAGGACATCCAGCAGATCGACAATCCTGGTGTCGTACTCGGCTTCTTGTTCTGTCTGAGGGGGTTCATTCTGCTGCTGGTGATTCCTCCATGGCCGGAAAAACATTGAACCCATTCGACTGGCGCGCCCGGCGCTTGGTCCACTCTCCGACAGTTCAGGGACGGAGGGCAAGTGTCGCACGCCACTGTGGCCCTGGCCATTTCGGGACGGATCGGTGAGCCACGTTGGGCGCTGCGGGTCGGAGCTGGAGCGTCTCCGGCCACCGGTGCCCCCCTGGGAGTTGTCGTTGTGACCATCATCTGCTTGTGGCTCTCCACGATTCTGCTGCCAGTCCGTCGCAGCAGGAGCGGTGCCGGTAGGCAGCGTCGGGGCGCGCAGTCTCCTGAGACCGATAGAGGACTGCTGGCGGACTACCGCACCGCGACGGTTGGAGGAAGTTGGCGGTCTTCTGAGAGGGGGAGGGCGTTCACGCGCCGGCGTGCTGGGTTCGGTAGAAAGCCCTGCAGCATGATGGGGCTGGGGCTGTGGCTGGTGGTGGGACTGAGGAGCGCTCCTGGAGGGGGCCAGATCCGAGGTGGGATGTGTGATGCGAGGGTCGAAGTATGGGTTTTCGTCCTGCGCGCCGGGGCCCTGAGGTGGTTCAGAGCTCATGGTAACGTGGAGTTGGAGCACAGTCGTGCCGGGGCCAGTGACTGGGAAGAGATAGACGGCTCAACGCGTCTGTCGGTTCTCGAGTCTGCACCGATGTTGATTGCATGAATTTTGCTTCCCCAGGAACAGATCCGGCAGATAAGATGGGGAATAAGTCCCTTCACAAGAGCATCGGATGTTGCGGGTCGGTCGCGCGGCGGACGGTTGGGTGGTATTTTGAGTTTTATCGGGGTCCCGGGAGGCAAAGTGCCAAAACAAACGGGGGATGGCGACATGAACTAACTAGCAACCTGTCAGTCAGTCTGTCTGCGGTTATCTCGAGGCGCGAAACGCAAGAACAGTCCGGACCCGGGGCAGGCGGGAGGGTGATGTCATGGCTCCATGCACTAGCAGTGGGCGTCGCGGGAAAGAGAAAGCCTTTGACGGCAAGCTCCCTGATGGATGGCCAATCCCTGGGGCAGCCAGCAGATTGCGCATCTCATTTCCACTGCTGGGTCCACCGGAGCGCACCAAATGACGATGCTTGGCAGGGGTGCCAAACAGCACTGGACGGCTGAAGCTCAGAACCAAGTCAGCACCCGCCCGCCCTTCCGACGTCACGCAAATGACGACGTTTGACCAACCGGCTGACCCGCCAGCCTACATGTACTGTGATGCACGCACGCACGCACGCACGCACATACTTGCTGTTAACAGTCTCTTCAGAAGATCACTCACTCAGACCCGTTCTTGTTCTTCAAGGGTCCATGTCCAACAGCTCCCCATTCTTTTCTGGCACCACAGCTCCAGGCTGTCACAGGAAAACATCCCGACTGGGCAACTGGGCATTCGAGACAAGCAACAGACTGCAGCACAGACTAGTCTACAACTAGTGTATTGTAGCAGGCGATCATTTTGCTGTAGACCACGGCTGCATGGTCGCCTCTCACACCCACATGCCTAATGCCTACTGCAGATCCAGGTGGCGTCACACGCTACCATCCTAGTTCATATGCTCATCAGGCCTTGGCACTGCCTGCCCAGGTGGCTACGCAGTATTACAGGTCATCCCAAGCAAACAAGCAACGCTGCCAATTCATCCTGCCAGTTCCTCCAATGTCTCCAATGTCACCCTTTCGGTGGATCCTCTGCAAAAAAACATGACCGGGCCCGGCCATGCACAGGGCCTGCCATCGGATCGGCCCGTCTAGAATGTTGTCTTTTGCTACACTTACGTAACTGAACAGAGTCCACCGTCCTGCTCATCCTGCTTCAACAACATCAACAACAATGACAGCAGCGTCTCCTATGAGTGCGGATCAACATATCCTCATGCCGCTGCTAAGGTAACCTCACCTGACATGTTTATAAGCACAGACATTGATCAGAATAGATCCTGGGAACGGTAAGCACGGTGCAGTTAATATGCTCTTCTCGTCCCGAGACGAAACCATGTATTATTGTTCTATTCTCAACCACAACGCCTTGAACCGGATGGGCTTCTTTATAATCATTCAAGAGTGCTCATTTCGATAGTTCCTGCATCGAGACAGTTGCGTGAAGTTCAAAGCCTGATCCCAAGGCCCTGTTGCATCCGCTCGTTCTTAGCAATCACTGACATTTGACAATCTCAGAGTCGTTCCAATTCAAAGCCAACTTGATTCATATTGATCAGAATCGAAACGCCAGTGAATCACTCGAGGTTAGTCCGACCACACTTAATTCCAGTTGATTTATTGAGAGGTCAACTCTCGCAATCGGAATTGAACCAAGAATAAAGAGAAGACGATGCATCAAGCATTGGAGGCAAGGTACGCCCACCCAGCTTCCACAGTACGCCCACCCAGCTTCCAGCGTTGGCCCACCCAGTACAAGGAAATTGGCTGCACGCGCTATAAAATATTGGTACTGTGGGGTTACTGACAAAGCATAGCTATAGCTGTCCCAGAGGGGTCCCATAGCTACCCCTCTATTTGCGACTTGATGTCCAACAATACGCGACTGACAAGGTAATGCAAGCAAGAATTGCCCAATATGGTGTGCAGGCCTCACCTGACACGGATTGACTACTGCTGCAAATCAAATTTGACGGCCAAAAGATCATGATAACCAAGAGAACAGATATTCGCACAGAAAGAAACGGATGGTATCCACATATATTACACACCTAGTGCACTTATACCCAACACACTGACACCCAATTCACATACCCGGGCTCATTTCATACACCCACTACAATTCACATGTCAGATTTACACCCCCATTACACGCCTAATTCATACACTTATATACTCATATAATGTGCAAATTAAGTGTATACATTAAGCATAGTGCGTTCGGGAATTGGGCGTGGGTGTTACGCTCTGATTAGCTGCGGGAATGTTATTCAAGAGGTATCTGTGTACCATCCACTTTCTTCTGTGCAAATATCCGTTCTCATAACGAATCTACCAGATTGGCTATTGAGCAGCATATAAGAGCCGTACCGCCACATCACCTTGACCACTAAGAACTGTGACTGTTGCTTCTACTGGTAGAAGAAGCTGTGTCGGCGCTATCGATATCTTCACAGAGACTGAATTAACGGAAGCTTTTCAACACAATACCAGACGAAGGAACAAGCGCTCTGAGAAATAATACGATGAAATAAATTATACGTGTAGATTTGACGTAGTTAGTTATGTACGCCTGCTATGCACGAGCCGAAAGCATCATGATCCGGGGACGTATCTCGCAAGATACGAGTTTTACTTCATCAAAGCAAACAACAATGTACTACACTTTCACAAACATGGCTAGACAAGAATTTCTCACGGTGGTGTGGGCAGGCTCGTATCGCTGATGGAAATTTCGCCCTAAGCTATCAAGGTCGAGAGATCCGGATCTGTCCCTGGCCTGTTGGATGGAAGAACGGATCGTGAGTTGACCACTTGCCTTATTCATCTTGCCAAGGGACTAACAAATCATACAGTGTGTTTCAAGCCGGCCCGAGTAAGAACCAGAACTGGTACGGCACAACTGGCACGGGCTCTCAAGCCGCGGCTGGTACACGAGACACAGACGACGCGATGTGCGGAGTCTGGGCCATGTACGAGCCTGGCAAGATCTTCAGCGCCGGCGGTGCTCCCGACTACACGGACTCCGACGCTACGGACCGCGCGCACATCACGACCATCAACAACCCCAACCAGCCGGTGGCGGTCGAGCGCGTCGCAGACATGGCGTACCCGCGAGGCTTCGCCAACGCCGTCGTCCTCCCGGACGGCCAGGTCCTGGTCACGGGCGGGCAGCGGCGCTCGCTCGTGTTCACGGACACGGACGGCATCCTGCAGGCGGAGATGTTCAACCCGGCCACCAAGACGTGGAAGACGCTCGCCGCCGAGGCCGTGCCCCGGAACTACCACTCGGTCAGCCTGCTCCTGCCCGACGGCCAGATCTTCGGCGGCGGCGGCGGGCTCTGCTACGTCGGCCAGCCGGGCGCCAGCTCGGCGAACTGCGACAAGAGCGTCGACCACGCCGACGGCCAGATCTTCAGCCCTCCCTACCTGTTCAAGGCCGACGGCACCGCCGCCACGCGGCCTGTGATCTCGACTCTCAGCGCTACCACGGTGAAGGTGGGTGCGAAGCTCACCGTGTCGGTCAACATGGCCAACTCGAAGCTGGTGTTGGTCCGCATCGGGAGTGTCACACACAGCGTGAATAGCGACCAGGGGCGTGTACCGTTGACGAGCGTGGCGGTCAGCGGCAATTCGTACACGGCGGCCCTCCCTGCCGACAGTGAGATCTTGATCCCAGGATATTACTACCTGTTCGCGGTCAGTAGTACTGGGGTGCCGAGCGTGGCGAAGACAGTCAGGATTACACTGTAAATATTTAGACAGCATCGTAGAAAATAGACATTGCATCAGGCTATTCCCTTCTAGGCCATAATGTCTGTGTCATTGGGGCTCAACAACCTATCGAGATCCCATCAACTGAGTCGTCTTCCGACCTGCAAGTGTAAGCTCCCTCACTCACGACTTCTTTGTCCGCAGCCAAGTGGCCACGCCACCTGAGACGCCAGCCACGGCAGCACCGGCACCTTGCACCGCACCCGCGACGGCAGTGACACCATGCCCGCCCATGGCCGCGCTCTGCAAGGTAGCAAAGGCACTCCCTGCGGCGACGCCTGACCCATGCTTCCGGCGGCGGCGGAACCTAGACGGCAATCAAAATGTGGTGAGCGAAGTGCCGCGTAAAAGAGAACCAAGGGTGAACAGGAGCTCGGTGTTTAGGGTTCACGAAACTGCTCACCTCCGACAATACCACCAGAACCAAAACCAGCAGCGCCCAAGACAGGAGCTGCTGCTGCCATCGGGGCGACCACGAGGGGGGCGCCGACCACAGCGCCGACGGCTAGGCACGCAGTGGTTCCGGGGTTGGCAGAGACCCAGCCGGCGGCCTCTTTTGCGGCCGTGACGCTTGCCTCTGCGACGGTCCAGAGGGCGTTCATGATGTAGTACTTTTGTGGTTGACGGCGTGCTGGAAATGGGTGATTTCACAGAAAGAGAAATGGAGACTGGTAAAAGACTGGTGGGGGGAGAGTGTGAGAAATAAAAGAATGGGTGATCGACGAGGCTTTGCTAGGCATTCACTGGTGGGCCTCTTGCAGCGGCCTCGCGCTGTGTACCTCGAGAAAAAGCCTCCTAGGTACCAGTTGTTGGCCAAGCAGAAGTCTTTAATAGAAGCAGAAGGGTAAGGGCAGCTCTTCTGTGTTTGTTTGGGTATCTATTGTCTCCACTGCACCTACTTTTTACTGCCGGCCTTCTTCTTCAGGGATGTGACCAAACTGTCCAGGTCCTGGCCACCAGCTTTGGCTTTTTTTGGTTTCTTTTCCCTTGTTTCCTCTGCACCTTCACGGCCGCCTTCGTGTTTCCGTTTCTTCCTGCCTTCCTCCACCAGCTGCTTCATTCCAGACGCGGCCTTGAACTTAGGATCGGATGGGTCGATAGCGAACTCGTGTTCCTCAAACAAGGCCTTGAAGCGATCATCGCCCGCGTTGATCTTGAAGTTCTCCTGCAGCCCTCCTGCGTCCTCTTTATCCTTCTTGCCCTTCTTGGCCTTCTTCTTATTCTTGTTCTTTTCGGCCTTCAGAATCTCATCCATGTTGAAATGAGTCAGGTGGCCTGTCTCTTCGTCGTGGTTGTCTGCCATGAGCAGTTCCAGCTTCGCCCTATCAACAGCACCTTTCTTCTCCTCGGCCTCCCTGGCCTCCCGCTTCTTGCGGCGTTCTTCCTTGTGCAGCTGGGCTCTCGAGGCCGGTTTAGGCTCCTCAATGGTGAAGAAGGGGTCGTCGAATCCGAGGTCCTCCTCTGGTTCGTTTGTAGCATCCTTGCCGGCGTCCTCTCCCTTGGCAGCGGCTTGCTCTTTCTTCCTGGCCTTCCTCTCACGCTCCTTGCGAATATACTTTTCGGCAGTGGTCTCATCCTCTGGATTCTTCTTAACGCCAGAGCTTTCCGTCAGTGCCGGGGTAAAGGTGATTTCCATGTCTCCCACAGGGCCTGCATCAGAATTTTTGTCTGCGGGCTCATCGCTCAGCCCAAGAGCCTCCCGCATCTTCTTGCGGGCAAGCTCCTTCTTGCTGAGCTTTGGTGCGGCTGTGGCCTTTCCTGTGACATCCTCCTGCTCGTCGTCTTCGTCCTCGCTGTCGCTGGCCAGGTAAACTCGCAGGTCGTTCTCTGCGATGTCTGCCTTACTTCCGCTGAAAGCGTTCTTGATAGATTCCTTGCGCTTGACTTCCTCAGGATCCACGTCCCAGGTGAGCTTGACTTTTGAGTGTTGGAGAGCGTCGGTCACGAACTCGACTGGCTTGTAGTTCTGAGGAATACTTTCGCATTCATCTCGAGGTTCTTCGTCGAACGTGACGTCATCAGGTACGAATCTCAGGTCCAAGAAATTTGAGGATGAGAGATATTCGGAGCCATCCGTCGCTTCGTAGATCTTCTGTGCTGTGTTTTTGTCCGAGCATACCATGACGGCATAGTAGTACCGTAGCCTGTCGAGTTGATATGTCCGTAACGCGTCACTGTCGAAATCCTCGTCGTTGCCCTCTTTCAAGAGATCCTGCTTTGCCTCTTCATCGCTGTCCTCTGCATCGTCGCCATCGTCCTCCGAAGCCTCGTCCTCCGATTCGTCCGAGTCTTGGTCGGTGGCCTGGGATTTCTTGAAAATCTCCTTCGGTGGACCTTCGAGCTCCTCACGCTGCATTCTCTCCTTGCCGAATTCCGAGCGATATACGGAAACCTTCTCAATGCGCCCCCCGATAGGCACAAAGCTCTTGAACAAGGCCATCAGGTCGACCGACTTGATGTTGTCCCAGTCGATGTTGACAATAGCGATCCGATTTGTGACATCTCCGGTCTCTACCTCTGTTTGCTGTGTCCGGTACTTCTGCATGTCGGGTGCATTGTCGACCTGTTCCTGTGCGTCCTCGCCCTCCTCGTCGGCAGATTCCGAGTCAGAGTCTGTGTCAGACTCTGAAGAAGAGAAGCCGCCCCCTCTTGCAGGATCATACTTTGTCTCAGCCTTTTCCAACTCCCGCTGGACGACGTCATCGTCTTCGACCTCGACGTCTTCATCCTCGTCCTCGTCCTCGTCCTGGTACAGCCTCTGCAGTGCCTTCTTCTTGGAATCGGACTTTATTTTCCGCCCGTACTTGTCGACTCTAGAGACAGCGGTAAATTCGTCATCCTTCAGCATGCGCGAGAACCGTTTATCGATGGTCGTCTTGGATTTCTTCTTGGAGGGAAGGGCATAACGAGGGTCGGTTTCGAAATTGGCGAAACGAGAGTCCTTGATTTTGGCGGAGGAAGCGCCATCGCGCTTCTTGGACAGTCTGGAGGACATTGTGGGGATACTTCTGAGTGTGTTGGGCAGGTGTCGGAGCAATTGAAGACGTCGCTATGCAGCAGCTTTTTAGACGGAAACTTTTGAAATTCTGCCGCTCAAGTTTCTTGAAGTGGTCTTAAAAGAGAAGGCGGTCAGTCCGAGGTGCACGGGCCTCGTCCGAGGCGGTCAGGGGTCCGACCTGGGCTTGGCTTCGATAAGCTTGGTCTCTATAGCCTATGACAGGGTTAACCTCTACAGTATGTCTAGTCTCATCGCAGGTGCGAAGCCCGTTATTCAACATTGGTATTCACCACCGAGCTCACCTCAAGACCAATTTGGACTGCAGTCACTTTTCTGCTTTAGTAAATGGCACCAACCATAGCTTCCAGTGCCTGATCTGCTTAGTTTGATGCACATGTAAAGCTGAAGAACCCAAATCTCGAGACATGCATCTTCTCGGAGCATTCCAATAGCTTGTAAAAAGTAACGTTATTAAATTTTCAGTTTAATACCGCGAGCTGCAGTATAACATGGACTATTTCGAACAGAACTTCTCGACGACTGCATTATGTGAACCTCATGAGGTTTCACAGACCCTGCCTTCCCCTCGCACCCTCCAAATGCTCATGCTCGAAAGCTCACTTGAATCCTGGTTCCAGGCGTCTATATCCATGCTCCAGTTCAGGCCGGTGGTCCAGTCTGTCGGCGCATATCCTCAAATTCACGTAGGCCTACTCCATAACCAAAGTGGCACTGCTGTGAAGGTTTTCCACACTAAGGGAGTGTTGTGGACGGGTATCATTATGTGCATATGCCGCGAATCCTTTTCCAAAATACCAACCGCCGTAGTAATGAGTGTCGTCGAATGCCGTCAATTCGTTATTATGTCGTTGCAAAGGAGTGTCGTAGTGCGTCGTTAAGTGAGTGTCGTCAATTCATGCACGCTTGTCTTCAAAAATAATACGTGTTAAACATTAATTCCGTAAGGAATGATCGGAGGTCGTAGAAAAGGGAAAGAATTGCAAGTCATGCCGGCAAATCCATTCCGGTCATGCTTAAAGCAACAAGATGCAGGTCAAGAGTGGGAAGACAAGTCCACCTAGACTTGTTAGGCCTCCAAGTCGAAGCCTGACAGCGGCAGCCGTAACGGGACCCGTGGCGCTTGTAATAGATGCCGTCGTACCCGTGCCACCAGTTTGGCTCGTGCCTGTGACTGCTGTCGTTGCTTCGGAGCTTGAAGCTGACGGAGCTGAGCTGACTGAAGCAGACCCGGTTGCCGAGGGACCAGTGCTTGGCGATTGCCCGGAGCTGGCGGAGGTTTCGGAAGAGCCCGAGGCCGACGAGGTACCTGACGTCTGGGTTGCTGAGGCCGAAGTCACAGACGCTGAACCTGAGGTAGCTGATGATGTAGAGGCAGACTCTGAAGCTGAGGGCGAGCTTGAGGGAGAGGTGGACTCTGGAGCCGAGGACGAACTCGAGCGAGAGGAGCTACCCGACGGTGAGATGATGCTGGTGGATTGACTAGAAGCTTCGACTTGAGATGAGGTTCCAACCGGTGACGTCGACGTAACATCAGCAGCAGCAGACGAGCTGCTGGGATTTGTCGCGTCAGTGGCTTTGCAGTAGTTGAGATATTGCGCAAAACTGTTATCCAGATACTGGCGGCCGCTGAGCTTCGTCTGATCCTGGTTGAGGTTGACACAATTGTTGCAGCCATTGTAAGAATTTTTGAAGGCGGACCCATCAGCACAAAGCGATGGGACCTTGCCTCTGGATTGGGCCTCCAGATTGGCGTTGTTGCACACATCGAAGCAAGCGGCCGGGATAGTTCCAGTCACCGTGGCCCGCTTGTGAAGAGCGATTCCCTTGATGTGCTTTTTGCTGGTGAAAATGTGCCTAGGCTTCGCAACGTTCGATCTCTTCGGTAGAAGTGTAGCGGTTGTGCTTATGGTGAGCTCCGAGAGTGACGTCTGCGAGGCCCAATTTCCTGTTGTGAAAGTCACCTCGTAGCCATCTATTTTCTCAACTGTGATGTTTTTCGCGAAGATGTCATAGCTCAGGCCAAAGGCTTGGGGGTCCAGGTTGAAATAACCCTCCGAGATTGGGTAGTAGCTGGTGTTGCCTTCTTGCCAGGTAACGTTGAAGTAGGGTTTCGCTGGCTGGCAGGACTCCTGTGGGCACTGGTAATTGTCTGCAGGGACATCAGACCATATGTTACAACCTGCCGGCTTCACCGGGTTGCAAGTATAGCCAGGCGAGCAGCTCCAGGTCAAATTTGACCTTGGGTCGAGAGGTGGCGCGTTCGTCGCAGCAGCAGGCGGCGTGCAAGCGCTCAAGCTTTGGACAATAGTTGAAGTCAATGTGACAATTTCTGGCGGTGATGTCACAGTTTCAGCTGGAGCTGTGACGGTTTGTGTTTGTAGCACTGTTGACTGCGGAAGTGTTTCGGTGTAGGTCGTGCCAGCCTCTGTATAAGTAGTTGTCACCGGTGGTACCACGGAGGTAACAACCTGTGTTATCGTTTCAGCTGGTCTTGTGATAGTACTTGGCGGGAGTGTGATGGTCTGCAACTCTGTGCTTCCCGGCAATGTTGTGATGCTACCAGGCAAGGTTGTCACAGAGCCTGGAAGGCTAATAGTGACAATTGTACCTGGAGCGGTTGAAACGGTCGTAGACGTGAGCGTCAATGTTGTCAGACTGCCCGAGATACTTGTCGTCGTGATATAGCTCTCCGTCAGGGTTGTAGGAACTCCTGAGAGCGTGCTGGTAACAGTGGATCCTGGCAGACTAGTCGTGACTGTCTGAGTGAAACTCAATGTCTCCCTATTTGAGTTACATGTCAGCAAATGTCAAAACCACACATCTCTAATTGGCAGTTTACTCCACTAGAGCATAGCTCAAAATATCCACTGAGTTCGGGGTGTGACTGGACTAGCACAGCAATGCTGGAGGATGCCTTTTATGCTAACCCTTTGGGGGAGGAATGGCGGGGGGAGGGGGATCTCACGTAACGGGATAAGCGACTGAAGTCGTGAAGGTTGTCTCCCGAGTAATGTAATCGGTAGTAAAGACGGTGGTACTGTCCGTGACTGTTACGGGATAGCTGGATGACTCGATTGAAGTAGAAGTAACAGTGGTCGGCGTAGCTGTTGTGTAAGTCGTCACCTGTGAAAAGAATTCGCGGTCAGTCATCACATGAAGCAAGAGCCGGTTTCTAGACCGAGATAGACGAGATCGTCTGATGCGGAGAGTAGTCCGGAGAACTCTATCCTGGAATGAAGCAGCTACTCACAAATGTGCTAACAACGGTGGAGTAAACTGTTGTTGGCACCGAAGTCGTTGCTGTCAATGTGAAGGGCACAGATGTGACGAGTGTCGAGGTTGTCGTCCGCACGTCAGTTGTCCAGAACGTGCTGATGATCGTTCGATCAATGGTCACAGTCACGGGATAGCTCTCGGAGTATGTCGTTGTAATATAGGAAGTCGTCGAGCTGTAATCAGTAATGGTCGTAGGCACATAGTCAGTGGCAGTCGTAGACACGTAGTCTGTGGTAGTTGTGGGTACATATGTCGTCTCTGTATCCGTAATTGTGTAAGGCACCGAGGTCACGAATGTCGAGACCGAAGTCACAAGCTCAGTAGTCAGGCTGACAGAAATCACCGTGGTTATAGTTGTGTGATCACTGACTATGGTGGATGTCACAGTCGTTGGCACGGTTGAGACGAAAACCTCGGTCTGCGTCGTGGTCGTTGGCGTATACACAACCGAAGTTTGTGTGGTGGTGATGAAATCAGTCTCGACGGTCTGAACAGAATGCTTGGTCAGCCTATTTCACGAGCTATTCTTGAAAGCTGAGAACGAGGCCGATGGTCTGGTCGTAACCTTCAAAACCATGGTAACGCCGTTGGGGGGGGGGGGGACAGAACGCCTCAAATAGAGATAACCAGGCCTCGATTAGGTGAACAATGGAAGTAGAGTTACGAACCGTGTACGGAACGGAGCTGATGGTTGTGTACGTTGAAAAATCGGTCAGAGTAGACACACTAGTCACCGTGTCTGTCACCAGGCTTGTAGTAGTGCGGGTGTGGTCGACGGTGATAGTCGTTGGCTTGACTTTCGTGGTCTTCAAATCAAGTCAGCAATATATCCCCTCAGGAAGTTGGAAAAGGTTGCATGAGAGTTTTCGAGCACATCTGAAGGTGGATGGATATTTGGGGCAAGAGCCTCCTGGTGTCTGGTCTTGGGCTAGGTGTGGGGCGGGGACCTGCGGGGCCAACGTACCGTATAAGTGGAGAGCCTCGTGGTGGTAGTTGTCTCGGTACAGGTTGTCGCAGAGGTGCGTGTTACCGTGTGCTCTCTCGTGGTGGTATGCTCCCGAGTGGTTGTACGCTCACGGGTGACTGTTGTCGGAACAGCCTGGTAAAGAGCCGGTTAGCGTATAGGTAGAAGGAAGACGTTGTGCTCGATTGTCACCCCCAACCAAAAGTTCCAGGGCCTTCTTTTTGATGTAATCACAGCCCTGGAGCTCAAAGCATGCGTCCTTGACCGTGAGACCGATGTGCCGTTGAACAGGAATCGCAACGCGGCGCCACCACAGCAGAAACCCCATTTGACAGAAAAGCTTGCACATACCGTGGTCTTCGTCACCGTGGTCCACCGCGTTTCTACTGATCTGGTACATCCAATTGGGGTGCTAGTTGGACCAGGGGTGCTGCTTGTGCGACCGGGGCAGCTTGGAACAGTAGGTGCGCATGAAGTGATCGTTGTGTATGATGTCGTATAGACGGTGCTCACTTCAGCCAGGTCATAGTATGAAGGGGCAGCGGCATAAGAGCAGGCTGAGACAGTGATAGTGTAGGGATAAGACTGTAATGCTTGTCAGTATCAAATTGTAAAGGGGTATGGGCCAGTTCTGCGGGAGTCTCACCGAAACGAGCGTAGTCGTGGTTAGTTTAGTCGTCCTGTCGAAAGTGTTAGCAACGCTCGTTGACGACGACGGCCACCTTCAATCAAGATGGCACATTTCTCATTGTGGAGGATGAAATCAGTGTTGAGACATACGTGACGCTTTCTGTAGTTTGAGACAGCTTTGTGGTTGTGTGGTCCACGGTGGTCGCTACCGTCGTGCCAACAGTCGTAGGGACAACCTATTCCAGAGTCAGAACATATCAGGTCAAAAGCCACCCTTGATTCAGAGCTTGAATGCTCATTCCATGGTCTGGACTCAATGAAGGACGCATGGGTTGACGAAACAGTCAGAATGTTGAGCACATAGCAGAGGCGAAGAGACTCCGGAGCAGATGTGACTCCGGAGCACATTCGGTCCTCGCATGAGAACGTCAGATGGGAAAGAATTATGCGACTTCCGTCTCGCCGTCCACGGTTCTGAGGATCGAACAAAAGAGGTCAAAATAGGTAACTTATCAGTACATACCGTTGTGACGGTCTTCCAGCTCGTCACGGGATTGCCTACACAGCCAATGGTCGTGACACTCGGTGGCTCGCTGCTCGGTGCAGGAGTGCTCGGTGAAGGCTCGCCTGTCGGGTAACTGCCGCCGGCCGAGCTGCCTGGGCATCCAGTGACTGTCGGAGCGCAACTTGTGACTGTTTGGTATTCTGTGCTGTAGACAGTGCTTGTCGCGTCATCAACGGCGAGGGCGTTATAAGCCACAGGAGAAGCAACAGAGCAGACGTAGTTGGTCGTAGTAACCACGTATGACTGGTTTCATACAGTGAGTGTCTATCATATCAGACGGGGGGCAGGAGAATGGGGCACTTACCGACACAACCGTGGTTGTGGTCAATTCGGTTGCCCTAGTCTCATCATCAGCAAACTTGATTTGCGAAAGCCACTCCCGGCGTGAACGAGGATTGAGCCATGTCTCAAGATATGACAGGCTAAATCCTGCTTCGCCGAAAATTGGGCGTCACTAGAGTTACTTACGTGACAGTTGAGTTCTGGTAGGCCGTTTCTGTCGTCTTCTCGGTTGTCTTGTCCTCCTCCGTACTAACGACAGTAGAGGTTTGCCATGAGGTAAGAGTTTGGTTGCTCGACTCCCCAGGTGCTGTGACAGTGGCCGTCCTCCAAGAGGTCACAGTATTCGCGCTGGAATCACCATAACCGGGCGAGCCGACGGTTTTGGTCAAAGTCTCGTACACCGTGGTGGGCTCCGCGTAAGTCAGAGTTTCCGTGACTGTCTTCCAACACCAATCGGCGCAAACACTCGACGTGGTTCCGTTTGGATATGTAGCAGCTGCAGCAGAAGCCCCCGATCCAAGCGCCGCAATGGCCAATGGCCCGTAGAAAGATACCATCTTTCAAGATCGCGAGCGCGAGTGCTGCCGTATCCGTCCAAGGCGCAAACGAAGGTCTGGTAGATCGGCGCAAAAAGAAAAAAAACGAAAGAGTTGTAGAAGAACGATTCTGCTGTCAAGCACGACGAGCTGTGAGGGATATGAGCAACGGTGTGGTCGGGTGGAGGGGGAGGTACCTGCCGATCTATGTGGATCGGCCAGGGTA